CTTCAAGATCAAATGGTTCTCTGCCTAAAAAGACCTTAATTATAATCGCCCTGAGGCATTACGGCCTCAGTATTACAGTTGGAGCCCATTAAAATTGGGATCCATTGGAATTAGTACCTACGGGAAGTGGAACCTGTTACTACTAAACCCCAATCCCAGTGGTTAGGTTACGTTGTTACCAATTAGGGCTGAGACCTGTTTGACGAATCAACAGCTGATAGAGGACATGACGCCTCCAAAACACGAATCAGATTAGCTAATATCTTATAAAGCAAGATAATGAATCCATGAGCGCATGGTCAGGTTCATTTTAACTCAGAGTAGCAAGAACTTTCCAAGAGAAATACAGATGCCTCTAAAACAGGTGAGTGTGATCACTGTACCCACTTGAATGGGAGAGGTGAGGCTCTGACGGGAAGAAGGTGGGAGGGGGAGGACTCCAATATCCTCATAGACGGCGTGAGGAAAAGGGGAGGGGGAATCTTTCATATAGACAGCAAAGGGACTACAGATGACAACAAAAACGGCGTAAGAATAAGGAGTGGGTCCAACGACCCCGTGAGCAAGTAGGGTCATCACGTTGACTCATTGAAATGGGAGTGACACCGACGACCTGAAAGATGAAGGAGTAAAGCGTAACGTTCCCTAAACATTTTTGTGATATGCGAAGGACTCCAGGCTTTGCTGATGACGAAAACGATAATCAATAAATATGATAACTTGGACGTACCTGAGATATGGTGTGTTAATGTCTCTCGAAGAGCTGTTTTAATTCACTTACCTGGAAAAAGAAAAGGAAAATTCACTTGAGATTACCTGCCATCTCTCTCTCACACACACACACACCTATATGATTATTCACACTAAACTTACAGGAACAACTAAGATAAAACCAATGATCTTAAGCATTAGTTTATGCCAAATGAATGACTTAGAGAACTTGTTCGATAAGTCAAGCACACAACAGTGAGCAGTATTAATAGTTACCTTGTGCTGGTGGTCGCGGAAGCTCTGGCGCAGTACAGGGTCATCACCTGGCACTGTATTGGCACTTTTGTGACATCTATTGGCACTTTACGACACTTTGAGCAACTCCACAGCATCTTACGACACTTTTCTACACCGTTTGACACTACTGTATGTTACTTGGACACTTAATAACTATTCTAGTCTTCGAAACTGTATGACACTTTGCTTCTTTCTGACACTGACACTTTATGGGTTTTTACAGCATTTTAGAACAGTGACATTTCAGGGTACTTTAGGACACGTCATGACACTTTTGACACCGTCGGACACTTCATGGCACTATAGGACACTTCAGGGCACTTTAGGACACTTTGATTCCTTAAGACACTTCGCGACATTTTAGGACACTTTGGCACCTTAAGACACTTCATGACACTTTGACACCTTAGGACACTTCAGGGCACTATAGGACACTTCAGGGCACTTTAGGACACTTCAGGGCACCTTAGGACACTTTGGCACCTTAGGACACTTCAGGGCACTTTAGGACACTTCAGGGCACTTTAGGACACTTCATCGCACTTTTTCATTATACACAACATCTTACGCATTGTACGACACTTATTGGACTTAGTGGCACGTTATCAGACCTACTGGCACTTTATGGCACTCTAACACCGTATGCCACTTTACGACACTTTATACTAGTCTTATGACACGTGTGGGTGTTTTTGACGCCCACAATTTCTATGTGACACTCATAAATCGTCTTGACACAAACACTTCATATCACTTTTAAAATTTAGTAACACAAACACTTTACAGCACTTATAAACACTTTACGAGATTTACGAACACATTGCGATACATGTGTTTAGTTCATAATACTTCTGAAAACTTTACGCTACTTAAAATCACTTTTTTTAAACTTAAGACCACTTTGAGACACTTACAGTATAACTACTTTACGACTAAACACTTATAAAACACTCTGTGAAACTTGATACATTTCAGCACTTGGTTAATATTCGTTTTTATCTCAATAGGTTAGGTTAGGTTAGGAACGACTCATTTCCGCAAGAAATTAATATCAGAATCAATTAAAAGCACCAAAATACACTAGAAAAATATTATACTAATTGGGAAAAAAAATTGGGATAAAAACGAATATTTTTCACTTTTCGTTAATTTCAGTCACTTCACCTCACCGACTATTTTGATTGTCCGTGTACTTAGAACTACTTTACGACACTTAGAAACACTTTGTGACACTTAATTCACTTCATTACACTCACAAACACTTTATTACACTGACGAACACTTTATGATATTTTACAGTCCTAGTTAATTTCAGTCTTTTCACCGGCTATTTGTATGTCAGTAAGTCTTCTTTTACGCCCTCACCCGCACTAAAGCAGAGACGCAATGTTTATGTGTTGTCCTGTTAGAGGCCTCCGTTGACATTCTCATAAAAACGAAACCGCGAAACGAGACAGATTCAAGATTTTAGCGATCCCGTCAAACCTCGTCCCACTGATATAACTCATTTGTTTCTTCACACAAGTAGCTTTAGAGAGCTTGTCTTTGTATGTTTGAATTATAAATATAAGGTAATATACTACACAAGATTATATTCCAGTACTTTAGTTCGTATAATGGCTCGTTTTTGGATGAGTGAGTCTGATGTATCGAAAAGCTGTTTCTGAACCCTCGAAGCACGTACACGTCATCGATGTCTCAAAGTGGTGTTATTTTAACTGGTGTGACAAAAAATATACAGAATTGTTTATATTGTTTATCCAATTTTATTTGCAAATTAAAAATAAATAAACAAGCAACCGGGAAACAAACGGAAATAAGATAAATCTGTATTAAACATAACAAATAACGATATAACACATTTTAAATTATTTTCTTATTCCAAAAATAAACGCTTTCGAAGACGTGTTTTTTCTCCGAACGATCAACTCAGACCACGACTAAACTAGCGCTACCAACCGTCTCCACACATCTGTCTGGTATATTCTGTGGTTTAATATTTTAGACAGACTACAGACAAACCAAAGAAAGTCAAATATCTTAAACTTAATTCACGAAAGGTGTTCCAAACCAATATGTTAGGCGTTTCTGTGTTTACCTGTGTAATTACATCAAACTACTAACTACAGTACTGAAAGGCAGTTTGTCGCAGTAGTTTACCTTGTGATAGTCAGTGGTAGTAAATATCATGGCGCAGAGAGAAAAGGGAAAATTCCTCTTTCGGAGAGGAGAGGAAAAAATCTTTAAGGATGTCAACATATATTTTGACACTAAACTGTCCCTGAATCTCTGAGACATCCCCGACGCCGTGGAGTCATCTACCTCCACACGTTCACCCTCACTCGGCTGCTCCGTCGTTCTTTATAAATATTGCGCCGATCATATCTCTGTAAAATAATGTAGACCTTATTACTTTGTTATATTCTTCACTTTCATGTCAATTTATAATTTGTTATTTACTGTAAGATATCCAGGATTTCATAAAGTAATTTAATATACAGTATACTAAAATTAACCACGTTACAGGTAGCACACATAACTTTATGGGTATGTTTCCTTGTGTTGTTTCGGCGCCACACGTGGATACGACCATGGTTGGTGGACGAAAATGTTTTTCGTCGGTGAACAAAGTACGATCCATTGCAATGATGACTCGAGAAGCTAAGGTTCGCCAAGAAGTTATTCCAGTGACCTACCAACAGCTATTCAACAGGATAATATTAGTAACGCAAGAGGGTGACCAACTGACCAGTTACATGACCTATGAGTTAGCTCCTAAGCCCCCCGCCCCACCTCTCACACTCTGATGAGGTTTCAATGAGGAAAGGAAACAAGGCAGCACTCACAACTGCATTTGAACATGTGGACCTCGGGAAGGCACAGCTCCCTAGGATTACCGATATGTCGTGGATGGCGCTCACTTTCTTCATAAAGTCGTGTGGCTTCGACCTACAATACTCAAAGACATCTTATAATCCTTCACAAATTATGTCATCAAGCATTATGGCAGCATCTGTAGTAGTGGTGTGTAATGGCTATCCAGAATCACCAACGATGAAAAGTCAGGAACAAATTCGTCGAACGGTTGAAGAAAAATGTAGCCACAACACCACAAGCAAAATTCCTTGTGAATTGATCAAACAAGACACAGTTGATTAGCAAAATGAGGATACACCTTCACTCTAGTGGTAAACTGATTCATCAAACTAATAATTATCCCTTATCTCCCTACAGTGCTTCAACCCCTACGCCCTTTAATCAGACTCACGTTCTGAAATAACAGCTTTGGTTAACAGACCAGGATCATGTAGACAAACCTTTGCTACCTCTCTTCAAACAAGTTCTCGGTTTGCCTGGTAGTACAAGACAGACATGGCATCACATTTCCTGAATTTATATAGCAAGGACTAGAGTGCCTGATCATTGAGAATACAATACATACTTGCATCTGAATTTTGCCGTTGGAAGTTGTAGGATTGATACAGCCCATGGATACAGTGCTCTACTTTTTCTTGGTGACACTTTTAACTGCATTTTCCTTACTCTGTATTCAAATCTGTAATCACTTTCTTTGAAGTTGAGAGAACACACACGGGCAAATTTGGTGTTAAATTTACAGAGCGTTTGCATTTACTTATCTATTCATCACAAGTTTTTTATCTCTGGGGAATATATAATGCTTGATGTGCTCTCTACTTGGGATGTGAGCATTGCTGGTGCTCCCGTATATTACACAAATAACCATAATTGTTGATACACTGGACCCGGGAGCAGACGCGGGCACACACGGAGGTCACCAGATGACTCGTTTTTACAACAGGGACGTCACAAAGCTGTGTAATGTGTATAAAACAAGCGCTTGGTGAACTATTCCAACTAGCATGTTACCCTTGGGCTAGGTTAGGTTAGGTTAGGTTAGGTTAGGTTAGGTTAGGTTAGGTTAGGTTAGGTTTGGTTAGGTTAGGTTAGGTTAGGTTAGAATGAAGCAGGAACACTTTTCTTGCATATTATTATCTCTTCATTATTTACATTTTATAGTAGGATAATAAAATATTCTCTCGTTGCTACACTTCATTTCATCGTCTCGTGTCAGTCAACCATTCCTGCTTACCAACCTGAAACAGAGAAACATTATCATAAGAGATATTAACTATTCCTATAACGATTATTGAATAGACAAAGAATAAAAAAAACTATATTACTTGAACCGGAGACAAAAACTGACCCCCCTCCCACCCCTCCAAAGAAAAATTATTGCTCTGTAAATGTCTAATTGAATCATTTCCAAGAATACCACAGTAAAAAATATTCACAGCTGTCAACGCACATCAACGTTCAAGAGAAACTGGACATTAAAAGCAATAATTTGGCGTCGGGAAAGATAGGGTAAACAGTATTTGGTACTCGCCGCTGATTGGCTGAATTAATTATATTTTAGTACCTCCTCGACGTTTATTGGATAGATCCTTAGTGGCATTCAAGATGGGGCGGGATTTTTTTTTTTTTCGTTTTTGTAAGTTGGTAAACACTTTATCTTGGATTATGTGTTATAGTCAGCGATCTTACCGTGTCCACCATGGCCATAGCCACCTCCGTGTCCACCATGGCCATAGCCGCTTCCGTGTCCACCATGGCCATAGCCACCTCCGTGTCCACCATGGCCATAGCCGCCTCCATGTCCACTATGGCCATAGCCGCCTCCGTGTCCACCATGGCCATAACCGCCCCCGTGTCCGCCATGGCCATGACCGCCTCCGTATCCACCATGGCCATGACCGCCTCCGTGGCCACCATGGCCATAGCCGCTTCCGTGTCCACCATGGCCGTAACCGCCTCCGTGTCCACCATGGCCATAGCCGGGGTCAGGTAGAGGAGTGGCCATGGTAGAGGCCAAGACACAGGTGAGGGCGAGTGTGGCCACAACCTGCCGGAGACAAGACAACAATAGTTAAATGAGAAACATTTCTCACCTTTAACTTAACTCTCTCACCTCTCACTTAACTCTCACCTCTCACGCAATGCAACACAACAAAAGAATGCAAGAACAACTCTCAGTGTTACAGAACTCAACAACAACAACAACAAAAACAACAACAACAACAACAACAACCTACAATCTTGGACACCATCTTGAGGCTCGGCGCTGAGGTCTTGTGTTGAGTGAAGTGTTGCAGGGAATGTTGTGTTGCTGCTGCCGCTTCCTTCAACACTTATATACCCAACACCCTGACACACCCTGACACACACTTCACAAGGTGTCCCATCACGCTGGATTAACTGAGATAAATTTGGAAATGTAGCGTGAATGTCGCTGTATCGCTAAAGACTTAAAACAGCGATGCTAAATTTATCCACCGACGCTGTCATAGTCGTAAACATTGTATAGTTTTGTAACTAATATATCGATATTGAAGAATTTGCTGTCGATAATAAATTATTTTCATTTTTATTTCTATAAGAGAGCTCATTGTCCCCTGAATCATTCAAACTAGATATAAACAATGTAATTAATGAAGCAACTTCTGTCATATCTGATCAGCTGATGGAATGTAAACAATAAACAGCTGATTATGATGTCAACAATAAACCAACCTGTTACTGTATATACTTCCTCGGTTGTCGTAATATAAATAGAATATCTCTGTTGTTTTATTTTCAGCAGGAATATTAAGCTGACTCAAGGTGTGTGTGTATGCGTGTGTCTAAAAGTATGGCACACACATATATTCAGAATTCACCATAATAACAGCGTAATGTTTGTTGATTTATTTAGCCTGTCAGAGTTAAAATGGATCACGTGAAAATTAAACACCCAGTTTATTTCACCTTAGGATTAACCCTTTAAATACAATGACTTAACCCCTTGAGTATGATGACGTAACCCCTTGAGTACGATGACTTAACCCTCTGCGTATGATCAATTAACCTCTTGAGTACAATGACAACTCCTGAGTACAATGTATTTTACACAAGGGAATATTTTGTCATAATCAAACGAATTAAATTATCGTACTCAAGGTATTAAATTATTATACTCAAGGTGTTATGTCATCGTACTCAAGGGGTTAAACACCTTTGCGCTATCTAAGCTATCTAGGGTAGGGTAGGGTATGGAAGGTTAAGTTAGGTTTGGTTAGATTAGGTTAGGTTTGATTAGGTTAGGTTAATTTTTATTAGGTTAGGTTCTACGTTACGTTAGATAAAGTTAGGTTAGGTTCTACGTTACGTTAGATAAAGTTAGGTTAGGTTAGCTTCAGGATAACTAATCTCAAAGTGAAATACCTGGGGTCCCTAATCATCAAATCATCTTAATAACATCTACCAAAGCCTAATCAAATACTTAAAACAACATAGTAGAGTTTTACCATACGATCCTATTTCGACTATTTGTTGTGTGGATAAATTCTCAGTTTTTCTTATCCATCTGTGGAGTATACAGAGCACAGGAAGCTTCATTGGCTTTAGGTAAGGTGAGGTGATCAACTTCTCTGCTACAAACTGTGGGGTAAATTTAGTCTCATCTGACCCAGTGGACGCTATTTTTTTTTTCCTATTTGATGTAATGCATTTGATGCAGGTGTTATTCATGTGTCGATCTGTCTCTCTCTCTTTCCTTCCTTCCTTCCTTCCTTCCTTCCTTCACTCACCCTCTTCCTGTTTCCTCCCCTCCCCTCCCCCCTCTCTCTCTCTCTTATTTGATATAGAGGTTATCTATATCCCCCCTCTGAAGATTAGAGAGCGTGTCCCCCTCTCCACACACACGCCCTTGTACTATATACCATCAGCTGACGCAAGTACCCAGAACACATACAGCAACATTCACGCTACATTTCCAAATTTATCTCAGTTAATCCAGCGTGATGGGACACCTTGTGCAGTGTGTGTCAGGGTGTGTCAGGGTGTTGGGTATATAAGTGTTGAAGGAAGCGGTAGCAGCAACACAACATTCACTGCAACACTTCACTCAACTCAAGACCTCAGCGCCGAGCCTCAAGATGGTGTCCAAGATTGTAGGTTAAGGGAGTTGTTGTTGTTGTTGTTGAGTTCTGTAACACTGAGAGTTGTTCTTGTATTCTTTTGTTGTGTTGTATTGCGTGAGAGGTGAGAGTTAAGTGAGAGGTGAGAGAGTTAAGTTAAAGGTGAGAAATGTTTCTCATTTAACTATTGTTGTCTTGTCTCCGGCAGGTTGTGGCCACACTCGCCCTCACCTGTGTCTTGGCCTCTACCATGGCCACTCCTCTACCTGACCCCGGCTATGGCCATGGTGGACACGGAGGCGGTTACGGCCATGGTGGACACGGAAGCGGCTATGGCCATGGTGGCCACGGAGGCGGTCATGGCCATGATGGATACGGAGGCGGTCATGGCCATGGCGGACACGGGGGCGGTTATGGCCATGGTGGACACGGGGGCGGTTATGGTCATGGTGGACATGGAGGCAGTTATGGCCATGGTGGACACGGGGGCGGTTATGGCCATGGTGGACACGGGGGCGGTTATGGCCATGGTGGCCACGGGGGCTACGGTAAGATATACTTCTCCAAATCTTTCACCACCACACCTTAACTATTAGTAACTTTGCCTCTACTTGACCATAACTACAACCCCTCCCCCTGTCACAACCTCTAACAACCACACACTAACAACCTCTAACAACCACACACTCACAACCTCTCACAACCACACACTCACAACCTCTAACAACCACACACTCACAACCTCTAACAACCACACACTCACAACCTCTAACAACCACACACTAACAACCTCTAACAACCACACACTAACAACCTCTAACAACCACACACTAACAACCTCTAACAACCACACAGTAACAACCTCTAACAACCACACACTAACAACCTCTAACAACCACAAAGACCGCCAAACCTTCCGTGTGTTTTTGACAATGTATTTTTATCCCAGTATTAACACCGAATTAAGTAAACAGGTTGCTATTAAAATGACCTGTGGCTTCTGTTTTTTTTCCAGGATGGTGAGGGAAGGAGTCGAAAAAATATATTCTGTAATAATGGGTAAAGTTAATATATTTTAAAGCTTTTACATCTGTTGTTTTACTTGACCCTTTTATAAGAAAAATGAATGTATCTGCCTGTCTGTCTGTCTGTCTGCCTGTCTGTCTGCCTGCCTGCCTGTCTGTCTGTCTGTCTGTCTGTTGTCAAGTCAAAGTTATTATAAATATACAACATTAAACAAAACCATCAAAGATAATTTTCCTCCAAGATAAATAAGGAAATTGGAAGAAGAAGGAAGAGAAAGAAAGAAAAAGGAAGAGAATGAAAGAAGAAGGAAGAGAATGAAAGAAGAAGGAAGAGAATGAAAGAAGAAGGAAGAGAATGAAAGAAGAAGGAAGGGTTAATGAGATGTGAATTCTGTTTGGGAAGATGTGCGGTATAGTATCATAAGAGACAGATGTTGATTGACAGACAGACAGACAGAGAAACAGACAGACAGACAGACAGACAGACAGACAGACAGACAGACAGACAGACAGACAGACAGACAGACAGACAGACAGACAGACAGACAAACAGACAGACAGACAGAGAAACAGACAGACAGACAGACAGACAGACAGACAGAGAAACAGACAGACAGACAGACAGACAGACAGACAGACAGACAGAGAAAGAGAAATAGCTTTCAATTCTAACCTAACCTAACATAACATAACCTCACCCCATCTCACCTAACCTTAACCTAACCTAATCTAACCAACCTAACCATACCCCATCTCACCTAACCTTAACCTAACCTAACCTAACCTAACCTAACCTAACCTAACCTAACCTAACATAACTTCACCCCATCTCACCTAACCTTAACCTAACCTAATCTAACCAACCTAATCAGAAAAGAATAAAAAACTCGATAAAACGAATAAAAAATTAAATGCCTTTAAGAAATTAGAAAGTTAAGTTACTTTCACCAGAGTACAAGTGGGGGAACACTCACCATCACCACCATTACCACCATCATCACCACCATCACCATCACCATCACCACCATCACGATCACCACCACACCATCACCACACCATTACCACCACTATCACCATCACCACCATCACCACACCATCACCATCACCACCACTATCACCACCAAACCATTACCACCACCATCACCACTATCACCACCACACCATTGCCACCACGATCACCATCACCAACCACACCATCACCACCACCACTACTATCACCACCACCACCACACCGTCACCACCACACCATCACTTCACCATTACCATCACCATCACCACCATTACCACACCATCACCATCACCACCACTATCACCACCAAACCATCACCACCTCCCTAGTTACCTCCAGCACTAAATAGAGACTTTCACTACTCTCTCTCTCTCTCTCTCTCTCTCTCTCTCTCTATCTCGTGTTTTCTTTAGCAAATCACATGGGCTCTTCCGTAGTTTGCTTAATAATAATAAAAAAATAAGAAGAAGAAAAAGAAGAAAAAGAAGAAGAACCACAATAACAAAAGAAGAAAGAAGAAAGAATGAGGAAAATACAGAAAGAGGAAGATATAAGAAGGAAGAAGAAGAAGATTCACTCACTAGAACTATAAAATAATATCAAACATCACAAAAACAACAACAAATTATAAATCCCATTATCACGATCCCCTGAACACTCTCACACACACACACACACATAGAGGATCATATGCCTCCAAGTTAAGAAAGTCCTGAGACGCTTCTGAGAGAGAGCGGTAAGTGACTAAGTGATGAAACAGGGTGAAGGAGAGATGAAAATATGTGTTTTAAACTCTAACTGACGTGTTTTTTTGTGTTTATTAAGATGGATTAAGTTATTATGATCAGGTAAATCGGTATTGTGAGATTTTCATTAACAGGTGAGAAAAGATAACGTAAAAATAATATAGTTTATGTGAGTTATTTAATTAAAAGGCTATTAAATATTGTGCATAGGCCAGTGAAAGCAGTCTTGTCTCTAACGTAACCTACCGTAAACTAACCGATAATATCATTCTACTCTACAGGAAAACCAGATGAAAATATCGCACAAGACATGTTTGTTATCACTCTACCTAATGATCTTCTGTAATATGCTGACAAACTTGATTAAATTCGGTAGGTGTTAGTCTCGTGTGGTTCATGTGGACTGTAAACACCTGTTGTCTTAGAGTTATAGAGTCACACATGCTCTCTATCGACACTGCCCTGGGCTCTATGGTCTATTGTTTTGTTCTATTACATCTGACATCTATTATAGCTGACATGAAATCTATAAATATTGATGTTATATTTCAGCTGGACTGTATCGTAGCTGGATTGTATCGTAGGTAGACTGCATCGTAGCTGGTCTGGACTCTATTCTCTATCATTCTATCTCCCTTGGACTCGATCGTAGCTGACCTGGACTCTATTGTTCCGTGTAATAGCCTCAGGACTCTGCCAAAGCTTCCAGCATACTCTAGCTGATAAGGGATCGATTTTCCGTTGCTTCGTTGCGTCATATCAAGCTTTCCTAGAGCTAAGGTGGTCCAATTGACACTCTGAGGTGCCCTTTATAATCCACCTGTGACCTGACTTTTGTCGTAACGCCCTACAAACCAAATCTTTCTCATGCCTTACCTAACCTAACCTAACCTAGCCTAGCCTAACCTAACCTAACCTAACCTAACCTAACCTAACCTAACCTTGCCTATCATAACCAAACCTGCCATAACGTAACCTAACCTAATCTAACGTATCTAATAATCACGACAACAGCAGATAATACCAATAATTACCAATAATCACCTGTAATTAGTCCAATACCTTCGATAATCGTGAGCCCTGATAAGGTACTGAGAATAGTGGTTCGTGTATCGTTGCGTTGCGCTACTGGTTCGGGTTCGATCCCAGGGCACGACAAGCTGGTTCCCACGACATTTCTGAACAAATGTTGGAGCAGAAAAACCTTGACTCTTCACCTTATAACAAACTGACATGTATGTAGCTGCTCTAACCGAGCCTAAAGTAACTTAACTGTTCTAGCATAATCTAACCTAACAGAACCTAACTGTTTTAAGCTAATCTATCTGCTCTAACCTAACCTAACCTACCCTTATCTAACCTAACCTAACCTAACTTAACTTAACTTAACTGTTCTAACCTAACCTAGCACAAGAACATAAGAACATGAGAATGAAGGAAACTGCAACGGACCTATTGGGCCATACTGGGCAGTCTTATTTACACCCAACCCCTATCGCTCATATATCCATCCAACCTATGTGTGAAGCTATCCAGCGTATTAGAGTTAATGATGATATTTGGTAACTTGTTCCACTCGTCCACTACTCTATTTCCAAACCAATGTTTACCTATCTCGCACCTAAATCTAAATTTGTCTTAACTGTTCTAGCCTAACCTATCCTAACCTGACCTAATCTAACGTAACGTAACATAAAATAGCGTAACCTAACCTAACCAATCTGAGAACTATTTTTCAGTATAAATTTCGTTGTCAATAATATTTCATTGTTTGTGTTATTCTCCGTTTATTTTCCCTCTCTCTTCTTACTCCTTCATTTGGTTACATGTATATAAAGTCCCTTCAGGTCAGGGCAGGTCACATTAGGTCAGGTCACATTAGGTCAGGTCAATACTGTTTAATTATAAGACAAGTTCTACATCAACCAATCACACCTGTTGATCTAATTAGCTTATCGCCAGGTGAACTATTAAGGGGGCGATGTGTGTGTGTGTGTGTGTGTAAGAGTGTGTGTGTGTGTGTGTGTGTGTGTGTGTAAGAGTGTGTTTTACTTATGCTATCCCCCCCCCCAACACACACACACGCACACACGTCACCTCGCGCCCTTAAACCTGCAGTAGATGTGAATGTATACTTTTATCTCAGCCTCGGGAGGGACAAGTAACCCATTCGCACCCTCTCTCTCACCCCCCACTCCGCCCCGCCCCGCCCCGTTGATCCTGGAGCTCCGCGGGGCAAAGTGAACGGTAGGGACAGGGTATATATACCTAGAGCGGGGCGAGGCGTCTTCATCACAACGCGAGGTCGTCTTACGGTCAGTTCAGCCACAGGTGGATCTACTTCAACATGGCTTTGAGAACTGTGAGTACTGCTGGCGGGGAGATGAGGTGCAGGAGGGGGAATGTGAGAGACGGGAGAGGAAAGAGAGGGATGCTGGAAGAGAGGGAGGAGGGGGGATGAGAGAGGGGGGGAGAGAGAAATGATGTGGGGTGACGGAGAGAAGAAAGAAGAAGTGGGAAAGAATGAAAAGAGATAGAAAATGTGAAATATGTTGAGATTATGTGGAGTATGTGTGTGGAAAGACAGTCAGAAATAACATTAAACTTGTTTCTTATAAAAATGTGTAAATTTTATCATTGTTGTGTTTCATGGTCGTTAATTTCACAAAACATCTTCCGTAAATTACCCACACTATATAATACATCATTTACACATTTACAAAACATCCATCTGGTAAATCAAATCCACAATACTGTAAAACAATTAATAAACTTACTTATACAATATCTCTCTATTGCGCCATTAAATTCACAATATTTTCATCTGTCTGCCACCATAATCCTACCATCTTCTGTTCCAGGTTATGGTGCTCGTCCTGATGGTGGTGGTACTCATGACAGCTACAATGGCCTCCCCAGTCCCTGATCCAAGCTTCAGAAGTTACGGCTACAGAAGTTATGGTGGTTATGGTGGTCATGGTGGCTATGGTGGTCGCAGCTTCGGACACGGTGGATTTGGTCACGGATTCGGACGTGGGTTCGGACATGGGTTCGGAAATGGATTCGGACATGGGTTCGGGGGTCACAGGTTCGGCGGTTTTGGTTATGGTAAGTGGTGTTGGACAGTCCTGGTTTGCTCATCGTGTTTACTGTTTCAAGAACTTTCAAATTATAGTTTATAATCGAAACCAATCTAACCTAACCTATTCCTACCTTCCGACAACAAAATCTTACCCTCCTACAACACAAAATCCTACAACAACAAAATCTTACCCTCCTACAACACAAAATCCTACAACAATAAAATCCTACCCTCCTACAACACAAAATACTACAACACGTAGGATTTTAACAACATTAATTAACATGATTAAAAGACATTGTTACCCCCACAGGTCGCTGATCATGCCTTACCTGCCCACTGCAATGATTACCTGGGCGGTGAACTGTACCTGGCCGGTGTACCTCTGCTCAACGATTACCTATAAGTGTTTTATCTTTTGTACCTTAAATAAATGTAATGTTAAGTTAAAAATGGTGTCAATACCCTCGTTACTTGTGTGTCTAATTTTCCTTTTAATTTAATTTTTTTATTTATGTGTATATGTTTGGGATTAGTGGTGCTACTACATAAGAACATAAGAATGGAGGACACTGCAGCGGACCTATTGGCTCATACTGGGCAGTCCCATTTACACCCAACCCCTATTGCTCATATATCCATCCAACCTATGTTTGAAGCTATCCAGCGTATTAGAGTTAATGATGATATTTGGTAACTTATTCCACTCGTCCACTACCTAGCTTAATTTCTTTTATTCACTATCTCTGTATAGAGTCGGTGCCTCGGGTATCATGTTTAAATTTTCGGTGGTGAAAACTGTTGAAAAATATTTATTCAGATTATTGCTCATTTCTCCGTCGTTATCCGTTAGCTCGTCGGTATCTGACTGTATTGGTCCAATCTTTTCTCGTATTTTATTTTGATACATTTGAAAGAATCCCTTGGGGTTTGACTTAGCTTCCCTTGGTACTTTCAGTTCATTTTTCCTCTTTGCTTTTCTTATCTCGGTCTCGAAAAGCGTATGTTTTCTAAAGTAGGCAAATAATTATCGTTTTCTGCAAAATTGTCTATGTGTTGTTTTAAGAAATTATTCCTAGATATCTAAAGTTGAGTATCAATGACCTAAAGACTTTATAAAAATTGTTTTTATTGAATAATAAGGCATTGGGTCAACCTCGCTGTATATTCTCATAGTTAACACATTAACATCAACAAATACCCCGTTTTGACCACCACTTACCTCTTGATTGTATGTTCCTTCACCAGCGATAACACTTTACTGTAGCACTTTATATAACTTTACTGTAGCACTTTATAACACTTTATTGTAGCAATTTATAACACGTTACTGTAGCACTTTATAACACTTTACTGTAGTACTTTATAACATTTACTGTAGCACTTTATAAAACTTCATTTCTTAAGACTTTGTAGCACTTCATTGTGACAGTTTTACCACGACAATAGCGACAACTAAACTGACCGTCATAGTTCATGACAATGTTTCATAAAACATCTCAAAACAAGTGTTGGAGTTTCACAGGACTGAATGAACCTGCTGAGACACCCCTGGCACCAAAGATGGGTGCAGTAGGAGAGCAGATCACCAGTAGATCTCCTTGGCGAAAGCCTTACTGGTGATCCGACAAAGAGAATGGCGTTCAAGGTGACGGAGAAAATGGGAGTTCAAGATAGTTTCGAAAATCTTTGAGAGGGATGAAGTATACAGTATACTCTTTTGTTTAGTTATTAATCACTTCTTATAATTTTTTATTGTTTTATTATTCACGTCTTATCATTTTTATTATAACTGATGTGTTTTTTTATATTATTACTTCTGTTTTTATCATTAATATTATCACCATCATCATTATGTATGTTTGCCTAGTTCACAAATATTCGGTTAAGATTGATATGACTGGCGTTCACATTTCCTATAGAAAGAATTAATATTTTGCTATTTGGACTTGGATAGGTTACGTTACCTTGTAGTGACCTGCTCTCCCTGCAACTCCTCTCCCGTCTTCGCCCAGCCAATCAGCGAACCTGCTCCAGTGTTGGTCAAGTTTGGTCTTGAAAGAGCTGACACTCGGTGCCGTCACTACTCTTTCTGGTAGATTGTTTCAAGAGTTCACAACTCTCACTCCGAAAAAGTTTGCCCTCACAGTTTTCTGGACCTGCGGCTTCAATCTTGAGCTGTGTCCCCTTGTGGGGCGGGCGTCCGCCAGCTCCAAGTAAGGACACTCGACTGAGTAGTGCCCCTTGAGATGCTTATACACCTCAATTAAGTCTCCCCTTGCCCGTCTGTAGTATGAGATAGGCAATTTCAGGCGCTCTAATCTTTCAACTGACAGTCCCTAGCATATCTTGAGGACGTGGAAGCACTTCACTCTTGAAGATCATTAGGAGTGATGGACCGTCTAGATATCTGAATGACCTTATAAGTCCTAATAATTTAGTTGCCTGATTTACCTTCTTCTCACAGTGGCCCAAGAACTTCAGCTCATTGTCAACATACACACTTAGGTCCTTGTCACATTGTCTCAATTAAAGGAGTCTCTTCGTCCCGTTTGGGACATGTGATATGTCTCCTTACCGTTGGTACGCCCCAGGTGCAGCCTCTTACACTTTGTGACATTGAATCTTAGCAGCCATTTCTTTGAACTTAGTTGAAGCACAGTAATAACATGACATCAACAATCTAGTGTGTTCAGTACAGATCCAAGCCATTTTCCTGCCTTTATCAATCAATCAAGAGTACCGTCCTCATATCTGAGGGATGGTGACCACAGTCCTCTACTCGAAATGTTCTCCGGCTGTTTTTACCAATCCTCCAAGGTTTTGTATCTCTCTGGGTACCAAGTTTTTAATTTCATTCACCCATCCCAGTCTCTACCTTCCCCTGACCCTCCTACCCTCAACTTTGCCCATTAACATTTGTTAGTATCCCTTCATCCCTAATTATATGATCAAAGTACTGTATGTCATTTTTCTTTTTCTGTATATTTCAAGTATATAGTGTACTATAATTCATCTCTCTCTCTATACAGGTATATATATACAGCATACAGTATATATACAGTACAGTACTGTATATGTATGTTAAGAGTTTATAATTAATGTTATGTAATGCAAGACGAATGAAGAACTGATTATCATCAACAAAAGTTTACAAGAATAAGATTCACAGATGAAACATGGTGCGTGTGTTTCAGTCCAGGTTCAAACACCATTATTGGGCAGTGACATTTTAAGGTAAGTTTAGATACAAAGGAGACATACTTACTAAACTGTATTATAAATTAAGGAACTTCTGGTGACTGCAGCTCCTCCTAGAGATGACAAAAACTCCCCCACAGCCATTTCCCACATGTTACTGTACATTACATTTGAAGTTATTATTTTTACTTCAAGTCCTCAGCATTTCAGGTTTATATAATAACACATACATACTTACATACATAATAGTAATAATGGTTGCCCCTCGTGTAACGAGAATGGCCGGCCCAAGGGCCACCTTGGTGTGAATTTGTTTAAGGTGTAGAAGCTGTCACCCACAACAACCACACCCTGAGTTAACGAGTTGCATGACCCAGAGTCAAGGAATAGTCCAAGAAGACCGGACAACATGCCAACGGCACTGGCTAACCATAACCCCAGAATACGATCCGCAAATCGATAAACATTCAGGTTCCCAATTACTGCTGGTTAGACATAGTTAGCCCATAGTTTCACCCTGCCCGAGGATCGAACTTGGGTCCGCTCGCTTGCGAGGCGAGCATGCTGACCATTACACCACACACACACACACATAACACAGACAGACACAAAATACACACACAGTAATAAGTAACTTTTTCTTTAGTACAAGGAAAAGTAATAAAAATCACTTAGAATTTGCAGGCTTTATTATGGATAGGTGGTGAAGTGGTATCTGCGTCCTGCCACAGCAGAGTTTGGGGAACTGGACAAGTCATTGTTGACAGCAGCAGTAGTGCACAGGAGAGAGGGTTTACAGTGCTAAATTTTGTGGGACCAAACAATTTATTTACTTCACAAATAAATCATTAAGAATATAATACTTAAGGGAGAATTCAGTTCCATGCTTCATAATAACCTTTTAATAATATCATCATCGGGTTCACCTGCCAACCTACTTCTTGGACTCCACAGTGAGACAACATTAGTAGATAAATTCTTCAGATCAAATTGTAATACAAGACAAAATAAACAACATAAACTGATGGAATCTGATATTTTTTATTGCATTAAGACTTTCCTATATACAGTACAAGATTTTGAGGGAAAAAGCTAAAATTTGCACAGGGAAAGCTTGGCAAGAGAACCTCAATATTCACAGAGCAACAAAATACTGTAAGGCCGACGGCCATCTTCAAAGAAATAAAGTGTAGTGTCGTACTTAACCAAGTTGGGTCTCGGCATGGGTGATAATTTTCTGTATATCTGTTTCAGGCACTTAATACTTGAAAATTAAAACATATTCTTCACAAAATGGAAACAATTGTGACAACCGAGCATTACACAGTGTAGGTATATATTTCATGATTAAATGCCAAGAACCAACTTAGCCAAGTCCCCAGTAAATGACACAGCAAAACTGGAACCGTGCTTTTAGCCTTCTCCAACGCTAAATAATATTTCAAGCGAGATTAATTTATTACATGCAGCAGACAAGACCATACTATGACTTAGAGAGGTAAGCCATAAAGCAACCGTTGTATCCTCTAAAAAATAGATGATCAAGGTTATAACGCGTCTTACACCGTGAAAACTTTGGGGGCACTACCGGAAATATGTTCACTTGGCTACGTCCTAATCAAGTTACTCCCTTAGGCTGTATTTTAGAAGTTCTTTTCTTCAGGCTCCAAGGAAAATAATACCCAAGCGTTTATAACCTTATCAAATATATGCTGTATATATATATATATATGCCCGGTATTCCACATTATTATTCCCTCTTCTTAATTCAAACCTAACCCTTTAATTTTACCATGCAGAAGAGTAGGCAGCTGGTCAAATGGGTCTCAGTGCTTTTGAGAACCAAACAAATCTATCCTCACCATGAGAATAGAAGCCCAATCACAATGAGCTCTGATGACCCCTAATTCTGATAGTCAGGTTAGTTCTGGTTGGGTTCTGTGTATGTGTGCGTGTGCTGTGGCCCATCTGACCTGCGACTGGAGAGAAGACATACTCCAGTGTGTACTGTACGTCAATGCGTCAGTCGTCAATAATCCGGTGACTTTTAATTAGAAGTGCAGACGACGATATATTGGCGACTCATTAAACTGCTTTCCACCGCACTATATCTAAAATTTAAAAACCTAACGTGAGCATCAAAACAAAGATATGTTATTGTTACTGTTGTTGTTGTTTCTTCTCAGTGCTACTACCATTTTGTTCCTCCATATCATCACAACTCAAAAAAAAATCATGAATACAGTACAGGAAAGCCTCCGATAACGACGGTTCTACTAACGACGATTCATATTTAAGACCCTGGTTAATTCAGGACCCAATTTAATTTACACCATTATTTTCTTTGTATTTACGACAAAAATATTATAAAAAATAAAGTAAAATTACATTTTCATATAAATAATAACTAAATCCCGATGTATTATTAAAAAACAAAAAACACGCCTTGTGCACGGAGGCTGCCCGGTTTGTGAGTGGTGACGCCAGCATAAACAGTCGCAGCTTGGCAGGCCTTTTGTTTTCATGCATCTGAACAGGAAAAGGAGAAAACCTTTCTCAAGTTTCTTATGGCATTTTTGCATCCCTATTCAACTTGAGCGAGTGATGGTAGTGCTGATTCAAAAGCTAAAAGAAAGTGTATAAGCTTAGCCGAGAAACTAGATGTGTTAAAATGATATGAAAAAGGTGAGAGGTCTGTGGATATTATATGGAGCAAGCAATGAACATATTTTCTGAAGTGGATCCATTAACAGAACAAAGCATTAAAATTAACAGGGACGTGAAAAACACAAATGACCTCTACATAAAGATGTAAAATGAGTAAAGAAAGCGGCTGTGAAAAGTTCTTTCGACAGCATTATCATTTGAAGGCCTAAACCATCAACTTCAGCTACACCACCAAATTCAGCATCATAAGCAGCTTCAGCAACAACTTCAGGTTCAGTAACAGTTTCAGCAACAGCTATGATATCTGAGTAAAAACTCACACAACATTCATTGGCTGTCCTTATGTTTTAGACTTTACCACCATTAGTAAGTATTATTTAAAACATATATGAACATTAATATGTGTTGCTTTCATAATCTTATGTAGAGAAATGACAATGTTTTCACATGTGCGCACTTACATACATTGGCATTCCCATTCTATTTCGTTTTTCTTTACCATTAATGGTTAGCTACTTCTGTTGTTCCATATATTAACATTAAATAACATTACTTAAAACATACATATTCATTTTTTTACATTAATTTTACTATAGCTACAACCAGGGTCTTATTTTCTTCAGTTTCAGATGTATAACTTACATTATGGGTGTAAACACTGACAACAATAGCATCCCGTCTCCTCTTGTGTGACCATATTATTATTCGTTTATATTGTATAAGGTGCATTCAGAAACATTATTTAAAGAATATAGTTTGCATTTTTCATTAATTTTAATGTTTTGGGGGAAAAGAGAGTAAAAAGTTACACAAAAGATATGAAAAGGTCACACTTTGGAATGCATCTCATTATTATTGCTTTACTTTAATGGTAATTAATGAATCACAATACGGCGAGTCACCATACACTGCAATATTGGAGGACACATTACCGTCGTTATTTGAGGCTTTGCTGTACAATAAACACCCAAAATAAATAATTAAATTGAATGCTACAGTGACCAAGTTCAACATTTAAGTACTTAATTGATGCTGTATCTCAAATCATTATCATACCAAGGTGTGAGTGATGGATCTCTACTATAACCATTTTCTACCCTGTATTGGGTAGAAAGAGAGTCGGGATTCCTGTTGAAACAAGAATCTGATTTGAGCGCCATTGGTTGATTCATCACTATCAATGGGAGCACCTCATATGACATTTAATAAGACTCCAAAAGTAATTCCTAAGAAAACCCAAGATTGAGTAACTGCGATGAGTTAATCCCGCTAAAAACATAATTCTCACAAAAAACAAAGTTGTAAATAAATGAATAAACAAATAAAAAATAATCAATGCCAACTATATAATTCCTTCTTTGCTCTTCCTCAAATGTTAATTGCTGAAACTTAATCCAGGAAAATGTAAAAAAACTACAAATAAACTCGGATTCAAGTAAAAATAGATAAAGTTGTCCGTCTGTCTGCTTGTCTGTCTGTCTCTCTCTCTCTCTCTTAAAAGATAATATCACCTTAAAAGTTCTTTGGTTTTAATCATACGAATACAGAGTTATCACCCCCTGGTACCGAAGTTATTACCAGTTGACTAAAGCAGATTTTTTTAATTCTAATCAATAGCAAAATAAAACTCAAAGATCCAGTCTTAGCGTTGAGGTTTACGCAGTCATAGTACCACAGGATAATCACGTCATTAGTTTTTGTGAACTAAATGCCAGGAATAGTTTAAATATTGCCCATCTATACAAACATAACCAGTCTAGGAGTTATACGATAAACTGCGATCTATTTCTAATTCTCGTCATGACTGCAGACAAGTGAAGGAATGTAGATATCAGATGTCTTCCTTAATGCAGCAATACTAAGCCTCTATAAATTTTAAATGCAGAAACGTACTTAAAAAATAATCCGACTATGGTCGTAATTTTAACGGTACAGAAGTTTGCCGACTAAAGTGTCAACGTCACATTACTACACAAGATTTTAGTTAAGTGTAAAAATGCAGAAAAGCCTCAAGTCCTTTACTTAATGGCAAAATTCACCAGTAAACACCAAGAAAATTATGATATGTAAAGATCTACGTAAATAAACACTTTCTTTAAACATAATACTAATCCCAATGACTCTTTGTATGTTGTAATTGAAGCAACATCTCGGATACACGATTCTCTAGGCTCGATTATCCATAAACCTGCATTAATGAATATAGTACAGAGTATCGTTCTTGTCTGTGGTATTTCCTTCTATTAACTGCCTATGAAAACATCACAATAATAATTATGTACCATTGAGTCACATTCTTTGGGTTCATCTGGAATGATTGTTTATAATGCTCCAACTGTACATTACCAAGACACTCACTCACTCATCATGAACAAGTGATGATGTACTGTACACTCATCGATGCAACAAATGACGACGACCTAACTCTAAATAAATTACATAGCTGCTCCTGCTGTCTTCCATCCGAGAATTGAATTACTTTAAAACCTTCTCTGGGACATACGAGTACTTAAAAGACACCCCGGAAGACAAAAACTAACAAACAAACACTTGTTAAAACATACATACAGAGTCACCTCGGCTACAAGTGCACTCATTACATGGAACAAATACGGCAATACAATGATAATACAAGAAATATCCAAGACCTTATACCCTTCCCAAAATATTATTGTTAGTTTTTCTTTAAGACCCAGCATAGGTTGACAAAGTGTCTAATAGATTTCAATGGGTTATAATCCTCTTTGGAAATGCAAAACGAAAATATCTATCACTTTGTCATTCTTGTTTTACATTCACAAAATAAATGACTTGGTTTGCTGCATGTATGTGTGTGTGGGGGGGAGGGGGGGAATTGAAACAGTAGTGCAAAATTTCTATCATTGATAACTAGAAAATTTCTAAAAAAAAAAAAACTGCCAATATGCTTATAATTACACATTTCAGTGTCTGTGTCTGTAAACTCTTGAGTGAGGTATTTCTCTAACTGCAACTACTTATAACACTAAAAGTACAATATCTGTATAAAAAAATGTCCCTCTAATTTCCACGGTCATTACTGTATAAATGTTAATTAAGAATCTGCTGGAAGAACACATCATGAGGCTGTGGCATCACCCCCCATCGTCACGACCACATTACTCGCACACGAACACAAACCAATGACCTGGGATCACAAATGCCACAAAAGATTGATATATATGCAGTATATAAATACATAGATGTATACTGTATATATAAATCCACCTGGGAGTGTTTTTAAGGTAACGTAGCTACTGTAACTCTTGACATATGGAGTAATAATAATGATCATCCTCCTTACCTCAGCAGACTTGGCCTCAGATATACTGCATTAACTACCATAAGGTGGAGAAGATACACAGGGTTACTATGGCAGGATTTTTTACCCTTGTCAGTTTCAATAACCATAATAACCCAGTACACGACTAGTAGCCTAATAGTTTTACAAAGTGGCATTCAAGCTCCAATTTTTAATAAAAAATTCTTACTTATAAAACTTGAGCTCTGAGTCAACACAATCTTTAAATAAGTCGTCCATTTCGGACAGCCTCTCTGGATCAAAGCTCTGGAGACAAGCTTCCGTTTCCTTCACACAATTTCTCTCCAGGTCTCGTAAAGTGTTCACGATGCTCCCACCATTCAAAGTGGCAGCTTGTTGGCGGCGATACAACAAGTGACTTCGATTGACTTTCTTGGCAAATCGAGGAGTAACCTGCAAATACAAGTGGTAAAAGTCATTGTTGTGTGTGACCTTAGTGTATGTTGCAAGAAAAAAAAAGAAAGCAAGCAAATATGAAGATTAATTATAGTTAATACATTCCAGCTCTGAGTAACTGATCCTCAGTCTGTGTAGTGAATCCTGCAGTTATTGTTAGTCCAGTTTAAGAAATGTAAAACTATCATAGATCATACAAGAAGTCCTTGTTCCAAACAATCTTTAGGCATGAGTTGTGAAGTAGAGACAAGCACAAAAAATACAATAACTACATAGAATAAGAGAAGTTTATAAAGCCTTGCCTTGGCTGGGTCCTCATCATCAGGGATCTTGGGGCTCTGGATGTGTGGCGAGATCTTGACATTGTTGGTGAAGATGAAAGGCTTAAAGACTGAACGCTGAGGATCAGGTGTTCCAGTAAACCAGTGGCAACTGGGTCGTCCCGAACCGTGGCTGATCACCGACACCTAACAACGGGAGGCACACCATTAACACTGTATGTATGCAACACTTACTGAGCTTTATATACTGTAACATACCTAATCCTTAAAGACAGTTTATATAATAATCTTAAGAGCCTCTTTTATATACCCAGACATGTTGCATATGCACATGCATGCCCACACACATTAGGCATACAACATGCATGCACACATACACACTAGCAATTAGTTTTTAATTCAGACACTTACAGAGTTTATCTCCATCTCATGATAATACAAGAGCCTCCATACTCACCTACTTTACATTTTGTCCTGTTATTATTCTTAATTTACCTATGAAATAGTATTTATTTATCTAAGTTTATAATGTCCAAGAAGGTAGAGTCAACAGTGTGTCAAGAGGACTGGGAGGTAGCCCAAGGCTTGTGTCAGTCAAGTACCTTTATTGAAAAGATTTGAAAGAATTTTGAATCAAAACAGCAAACGCCTTAAACTAATAATTATAGGTCGGTGACATGATCAGTGGCACAACGAATAAGACATACAAAAACTAAATCAGTCTTGCTAATGAACTTTCGTAGGAGCCAATTCTCAAATATAAACTACATTTCTGTCTGAATATGAGAACCAACCCATCCAAGTAATTTACATGAACCATCAATGATAATTCTCCTATGGCATATAAGACACCTGTAGCATAATAACAAACCTCTGAAGAAAATGACAGCTCTAGACATGGAATTAGCTCACTGGAAGTTTCTGGCACAAACATAAATCCTAATAACAACACTTCTTTATAAATCAACAGTTATTCACTACCTATTTATAATCTGAAACTAAAGTCTATGAGAAAAATGGACACCTAATGTTAGAGTTTAGTTTCTCATCTGAAGAACAGCAAGTAACTATACACAGCACTGTACTCAAGGAATGGCTTAATGTTTGAGGTGAAAGAATGAGCAACTGGTCAAACAGCAGTACAGTACAGTCAGCCCCAATCTAATCTTAGAAAAGGACTTGGGGACCAATCTTTTAAAAGGTTATGTTACATTGAGTCCCAACAGTGATTGTAAACATTACAGTATAGTCTCGGTTTACACGGTCAATTAAACCCGTGGAGGTCCGCATAAAACGAGAAACACGTAAACGAAATAACAGAACATATGGGATTAATTGAAATAGAGACTGGGCCGACCCCCAGACTACCCTTTTTCCGACAATACGTACGTTGTAGTGAAAATAACATCTTAATTTTATGATGGTATGAGCACACAATTAATATTTAAGAGAAATATCAATAATATTAGGTTTTTTAACACTTATGTTAGTAGAAGAGATGGCTGGGCACATGGGGATGGGGGGTTGGTTCCGAGGCAGAGGGCAGATTATTGGCCTTCACCTGTATCACTTGCATCACCTGTATCAATCCACCACAGAGGCTTGCAGGGCCTCTTTGTCAACCCCTCAAAGTCCATATCCTCACTATCGCTGACTCGGGCCGGCTGTGGTGGGTGGCGGGTGTAGAACTCGGTAATGTTTTGTTGACTGGGCGACCTTGTGAACACCCTGACCGCGCCGCTTCCCGCGTAAATGATGGAATATACCGCTTAACTAATAATTGTCGGTCTGGCCAGGTGCTGCGTAAATGACCAAACGCGAAAAGGAAATCCGCGTAAATGACCAAACGCGTAAAGGAAATCCGCGTAAATCGAGACTATACTGTACACTTCAAAAAATATATCATAAAATTACTGTACTCAATAGAAAACAATAAGAAACACAATAAACAAAACTAAGACGTAGCCAATTAAAAGCTCACTGAAGAAAGACTCACCATACTCCCAGCAGTAGGGCGATTATGGTCTGTGCCACGACAAATCCCAGATTCCTTGTCTCGGAGAATCTCAAACATTTGAGTCAAGGAAAAGTCACCTGCCAATAATCCAGAGAAGAGATGTACTGAACTAAACCAAATCCACAGTTATCCACGACATCACACACGTCTGGGCTACTACCATTAATGCTTCATGATCGCTAATGCTGCCATGGAATATTTTACACACACACACACACACAATGAGAATCTAAGAAAGAGCAGTGTTTTGGGATCTTAAGATTCTGTATATTGAGGCAACACCATAGAGAATTTAAAAGTTTATAAGGGAATGAACTACAGTTAACCACATTACAGCCTGTACTAATTTTTTTTGAGATTCTAAATACATTCACAAATTATTTACATGTTGATTTTTTTTTTCAATTTCTTAGGACAAACCTTCCCCCAAACACTTCAGGTACCATCCACCTCCTCTCACACACACACGTCTATCAACCAATCGCAAACCTCAAAATATATGCTGAAGTATATGATTGGTTCTTGTTCATCTGACTAGCTAATCAATGGAGTAATTGCCACAGGCTTTCATAACAAATAATGAAAATGTGTAGAAAGAATGGAAGAATGAAGAAAAATACTCATGAGCGGAAAATGGCAGGAAAGGAGAAAAGAGGAACAGCAAATAGCAGAGAGGAGAGGAGAAGGAGAAGAGAGGAGGAGGAGAGAAGAGAGGAGGAGGAGACAGAGGAGAGAAGAGAGAGAAGACATTTCTTGTATGTTACTCAAATAGTGTTTCATACCGTGACCTGAACCAAAATAAATTAATATGAATATAAACAGTAGATAATAATAATTACCGCTTATAGAAATTGGTACTGGAGTATCTCTAGCCTCGAGGTCCTTATTACACTTAAGTCAATCTTCAATTTAACTGTTAAGTCCTAAAATATATTCATCAAAGGCAACAACATCCTGAATATATTGCGTACTTTTTTATCGGCATGCTAATGGAATTCACGTAAGACCACATTAGGAATATTTTGGAATGCATTTAGATTAGGCACCCCAGTTTATTTCATCTGATGATTTAACACCCAGGGAATGGGGAAGGGTAGGTTAGGTTAGGTTAGCATTGAGGTGGTAGTCATAAGATGAAATAAGTTGCGGTGCCTAAACTTCATGTGATCCATTACCCGTATTATAGAAGGGAAGATAATCACAACAATAAGCAAGGTACAAGCAACATGCAGACACACGGCCGAGGGATCTAAAACAAACCTGGCAGAGATGCAGCCAACACTTTTTGCCAATTTTTCGGCACTTAGTCAGTCACCTAATAAAAGGTCCCAATTTAAACCTTTGTAAATGTTTATATGTAAATATATATATATGCTGATAAACACAAGGAAACAAGAAAACACGAAGTTCCCAAGCGCTTTCGTGTAATTCACATCTTCAGGGGTGAATACAGACCGTTTCCTTGTGGTTATCAGCATATACTTGGATCACGCACACCTACAGCGATTTACTTGCATATACATATGTGTGTGGCATGTTTGTTAAGCTTTTTTAAGAGACAATCAACAAGCACACAGATGTTTTAAGCACCACATGCAAAAAAACACAAAAGTAACATTTTAAGTCACAAAATCTGAAAGCTCCATTTTTACCACTTGAGAGTATGTAGTTATTCCCTTCTAATACTCCATAACCTTTACTGAACTTAATTTCTACATCATTACTAAGCCATGAATACTGTAGACACATCTCAGTATATAGTAGTTTCCTTTATTTGTATATATTGGCGTTTTCATTAACCCCTAATTTTGTAAAGCACGTTATGTCATTAAGTCCACTCGATAAATTCTGGGGGTTTTCAATTCTTTTGAACACTTGGAATTTGTTACTTGTAAGAATAAACAAATCTACTTCACTTTGGATAATTCTAACTTTATGGTTCCTGAGAGCATAAGTGTAATGTGTCTCAGAGGCAGAGGGTTTTCGTTTCACTTGGCATCTACACCTCATTAACCATCTAGTAACTAACACTCTTTGTCAAACACTGTACTTCATTTAGCTTAAAGTATTGTACTGAATATTTCACAACAGTGGTAGAACTAAGCCGGTGTTATGGAGTTCAGTTGGATCACATGAAGAATAGGCAACTGAGCTTGTATTCATTTATCCTATCCTCCAAGGCAGTGTTAAGGTGTTTATTCATCAGGTGAAATAAGCTGGGGGTGAGGCCAGGCTTGGGGGCATCTTCAGGTAAAATGTTAATTTATGAAGTTGTGGGTCACTTATGGACAGGTGTTGGATAAATGACATCTAGAGTTGCGAAGAGACACAATGTTCGTTCTAATCACAATTTTAATTACTAATATACGACACTCCCCCCCAACCCCACAGTTATTGGCTTAGTCCTGCTGCCAGCCATCGAGAGGGGGAGTTCCCTAAACGTACCAGGGTTTCTCGACCTTTTTTTTGCCCAAGACCCCTTTCTGCACTGTGTATTAATCTGAGCTGTATCAAATAGAATTACAGCATAAAGACAAAATGTTTGTAGTACCTAACAAAAACGATCAATTCTATAGACATAATTGTGTACAAGCAAACAAATTTCCAGACAAAATGTAAAATGCATTGTAGCAGCATAAGGCCTACTAACAAAAAATATTGCAATTGATAGGTAATTATAGAATTATAAAGACAAAGTGTTTGTAGTACATAACAAAACTATCAATTCTATATTAAGTTTTAGTAGGGGTGACAAAAGCTTTTTCATTACGGGAGATTCCATAAACTTCGTCTGCTTACTCGAGTCCACTAGAGTAATGTTCAATATATAAGCTACTGAACTTAGCACAACGAATGAGATGTGACAAATTGATCATACGCCTGGCAGGTATGTTTGGGTGGCCCCTTCAGAAACTTACTGTGGCCCCCTAATGTTCCATTTGTTCCATGTGGCCTCCTAGGGGGCCAGATGACCCATGTTGAGAACCACTGCTCTATACAACCCAGCTGTAGAATGGTACCTAATTTTACCAATATGGAAAGTCGTCTCTTCGTCACCAGTAATCTGCATCAACACTGTCACTAATATGTCGTCATACCTATAGGACCCTACTCACTATTCACTTGATAATCATTTTCCTTTCAATATCTAAACTAACATCACTGCACCTTACTGTATAACTTGACTCATACTTAACCTATACCGAACCTAAAAGTTAACATTATAGACACAGGTAACATGTCACTATCCCACCAACCTTGTCATCTCCTTTCATTGTTTGCATTACAATTACAGTAAACATTGACAGACTTGGAAGTTTACATTACTATTTGTTACAGTAAACATTATATGAACACAAACTGTAGGCATTCCTTCCTCATATCTCTGTATAGTCTAAATGAAGTGTGTTTTTGCTCTTAGTTCCAGCCACCCTACAATATAGTGGGAGGGGGCTGTGGGATGGGGCTGTGGGATGGGACTGTGGGAGAGGGGACTATGGAAAGGGACTGTGAGAGAGGACAGTTGAGGAGATGGGACGGTCAGAGGAGGCTATAGGAGGGGGGCTACAAATGAAGGTCATGAGAGGACTGTGGGATGGGAACTTAGAAATGGGTCTTGAAAAGAGCAAAAAAAAAAAATGTAAACCCGTACAATGTAATAATGTACAGGTCTACAGCTATCAACCATCTTACACATTAACAAAATCCAAGAGGACTTTCATAACAAAATAGCAATAAGACAGTCACAGGGAAGCAACTACCAAAACAGAGTACTGTATTTATATATACTGTATATGTATATCACATCTAGCCATGTTTTTTAACTTACGAAATTTGGCAACAACTTATCATATAAAACTAATTACTAGATTTTTTGAAATATTTAGTGAAAAATCCAGTTCTGTTATACATGTATGCCAAAGAATCATTCAGGAGGGATTATTATTGTTTATTTATAACCAGATGTTCCCATTGGCTATGTCAGTGAGGAGGTTATGACCCATCTTGAATAGGTCAGGTCAGGTCCTAAATGTACTGAAGTAATCTGTATTTCCCTCACTCCTGCCTGTCTGTCTGTCTGTCTGTGTGTGTGTGTGTGTGCATGTGTGTGTGTGTGTGTGTGTGTGTGTGTGTTTATCAGTATGAGAGAAACTAGCAGGAGAGAATGGCATATATACACATTAAGACAAACAATTAAAGAACGAAGGCTACAGCAGAAGAAATATTTTGCATGAAACATTATCTTTAAAAAACAATCCAATATTCTACCCTAAATATAAATACATATAATCCTCAATGGCAAGTCTCCCATAATACCCGTACAGTAAAAAGATCAAATACTGGTCAGGGTCAAAAACTCGGAAGAAAAAAAATTTATAACATACATGGCACAGAATCTCATTAAATGAAGTTAGAAAATGAACCACTAAAAATAGGACAGGAAAAATATATAAAACAAAACATAATATTTGTTCTTGAGAGGAAACTTGAACGAGTGAGTGTCAGCGTAAAGTAAAATACCCCGGCAAGAAAAGGAGACAGATTTTTTTTTTTCCGGGCGAACTAAATACCTATAAATAACAAGTAACTCATCTGTTGTCTATCACACTAAGTATGTCTATTGTCTGTCCATCAATCATAAAATATTTTGGTCTTGTTATTAGAAATTCTTTGGCATTTTTTTTCAACTCGTGTAAACAAAAGAAAAAATCTAATACTCTGTTCTGTTAGGATGCACGAGGCAGAGCATAAAACAGAGCCACTACCTGTGAGGAAGTACTGACAAACATGCCAGCAGACATGCATATCCCAGACTTCTTATCCCTCAATACACTGAACATAGACTGCAAATCAAAGTTACCTGGAAAGATACACAACTTAGCTTAAGATATTTTTTAAACAATTAATACTTATAATACAAGAATCAGTAGATAAACATAATTAAGCTAAAACTAGTACTTGGGTTTTTTGGGAGTCAACACAATTTTCTCCACAAATTGCATCAACCAGCACTATCAACATTAGTCCTACCTGACTGACTGCCTCCCACCATCCCTACCTGACTGCCTCCCACCATCCCTGCCTGCCTTCCTCCCTGCCTGACTGAAAACCTATTGACCAGCCTTAATCAATGCAAAATATATACAAATCCCGATTCCTACTAGGTCTCCCAGATGAATAAAATGCCCCATAATGTTCTCTTACCCAAAACACCACAACACACAGAGGACTACAAGTGTTAAATGATCCACGTAACTACCCGCTCCTTCATCAAACTCTCCGAAGTTCATCTCCAACTGTATTAATTGTGATACTTTCTTGGGACATTTCTTAATCACTACTTCTGTCATATTTCTGGCCCTTGTACTTGACCCTATCTCCTTCCTAAATCACCTTACTATTGGTTTATCTCATCACTACAGAAATTCATCTTATTTTGCCAATGCTCTTCAATCCCAAAACTCACATATGTTTCATTTATTCTTTCATATTTCAACTTCCTATTAGTTACAGTACAGTACAGTACAAGGTTCCAATCGGCAATCTTATCACAATTCTTCACTACACACAATTGCTACTTAATCTCGGCCACCTGTTGACTCCATTACCAGATAAACAGATAAATGTCACTGTACTATTGCATATACTGTACCCACAATGCATCTCGCTGTATACACCTAACCAAAACCTAACTCTACCCATATTATCATAACATAATATTCTTTCACTTATGCCACTAAACTCTGCAAAAGATTAAATTCCCATTCTAAATAAAAAACAAATTAACTACCTCTATATTCAGTCTAAATATTCAACTAAACCTAAGTCTACCCATATTTATTTTCACAACACAATATAATTCTTCCCCTTCTTTACGCCACTAAACCTGACAAAAGAACAACCCCAAAATACTCGTACATATAGGAGGTCAACTGTCAAATCAAACTATAATTCACTCTAATAGTAAATATCTTCACTCAGTATTTGTATCACCACAGTTGGGTCTCTGGAAGCTGGTATACGAGGAGGTCTGAAATGACGGCAAGTTTGGGATGAGAGTTAGGCAAGGTTTCTCGATGATCTACCTCGACTTAAATGAGGGAGGTACTGTCTTTAATGGTAAAGCGTGATACACAGTTAAATCATTGCCTAGACAATGAGTTAAACAGACCAAAAAGTGTTATAACTATTCTAAAACTAGAACCTTAAACAGCCATCACTGTTCTTGACCAATCTTTAACGGAACCTTCGAACAGCATCACTGATAAGGCCAGGTACCTACAGCAATACTTACTATACTTCAGACACTTTTTATCCCTCAGGTAACCTTATCTAAGTAGCTCTGGGATCAACTAGTACCGTAGAGTATATCTGTCGTGACAACACAAAAGCTAAGCTCGTAAAATTTCAATAATCTAAAAAGGGCAGATTTGTTTACGAATGGGCACCCCAGCTTATTGTCCCTGAGGATTGAACACCCACTAACAGGTAGCTTTAATCATCAGGTGTAATAAGCTGGGGTGACTAATCTTCATGTATCCAAAAGTTCTACCAGTTCTATCCTTTATCCGAACAAAAACTGGCCAGACATGAACAACACTAACTTTATACATGAATAACAAAATGTATATGTAAGCTGAAGGAGTCGGGTTCTGAAAGGTCAGGTTTTCTTTAGCACGGAAACAGGTTCAACGAGGGGGCATGCTAACTCAAAAGGGTTTTAGTATGTACAGGTGCTCCTCTACTTATGAACGAGTTACGTTCCTGAGGCTTGTTTGCAAGTCCAATTGTTTGTAAGTCCAACTTTACTCTTGTAGATACCAAACATATTGTAAAAAATGAAAAGATAATGAATATTTAGTACAGCTATACCCTTTAATACAGCCTTAAAACCTGGCTCACTCTTCTCCTCTTAGGTAATGTTTGTTCTAACTGGAATTTTCTTCAAAATAAACCAGTCTCATCCACATTAAACACCTGTTCTAGCAGGTAACCCCCCCTCAGTGATGACGTTTGTGTCTCGGAAAGTTTGTAAGTTGAACGTTCTTAAGTAGAGGAGCACCTGTATTGCACTACAAATATCAATACTAAACTGGGTAGGAATCAGCAACACAAAACATTTTAAAGGGGATTCCCATATGAAGGGGTAATGAACACTATATTAACTACAGTATAGTATATTAAAAAAACTACCGAATTATGTTTCAAATCAAAAATATATAAATCTTCATGTCACGCATAATTCAAGAAACAAATTTCACTATAAGTTATTCCCATACATATTATGATTAGATAAATAAACTTGTGGCAGCATTTGGTTTGTCTTTTTTTTACAATCCAAAACAAATATTGAAGAGCCAGGTTAACTGTTGCTCCATAACTTAGCTATTCCCAGGAGGACTTCACAGTGAGGCAAAGTAAACAATGATATTCTGAAGATTACTGTTGGGTCTTCACAAGTTAACTATGTGTGTATGTGCTGAGGCGTGGTATAACTGAAGGTTTGGCGAAGTGGGTAAATATACATGATACTCACATACATAAACTCATAAAGACAAAAATACCTGAGTTTATCAAATGTTTTATCAAGTTCATCATCATTCTATCATACCTAAATCTATCAAATGTTTTACCAAGATAATCATTAATTTATTTCCTACACAACTGAACTGGACAATCAAGGTTCTCTCTTAATCATGACAATGGCAAGTATAGCTAGGAAGATTATGTACACATTAATAAAACACAAATCAAAGAACATTTCTAACCTCCTGCAGATAGTTTAGCCAGGAGCTTCTCCCCACACTCTTTCCTCCCTCCTGCCGGATCTCCCTCCTCTGCGTACGCCTCGGAGAAGTTGAAGTCGCCGTTGCCATCCCACCAGCCTTTCTCTTGTGCAAATTCTTTCAGGCCTTCACTCATCTTGTCAATCTTGGTGCCGATACTCAGAGCGTTGCTGATGTTCCTGTAGCCACCTGCAAGAATGTTGACACCGGGATACATTTTCAGTAGCTACAGTGATCACAAATACAGTACAGTATCCAGTACGGCTAAGAAAATATAAAAAATATAATAACAATAAATAGTAACAACAATAATAGAAATATTCATTCAGCAAAATTGTCATACAGGTTTAAAATGGACAGTCATGTATATAAACTATGCAATTATACTTATACATCCCAGCATGAATATATGTAGGTATACAGTGCATGTAGACTGTGGGATTACAGGTACTGTACTGTACTGTACTATACAGTTTCCTGTGTGCCGAGACAGTGCAGGTAAACAGTAAGGCAACTTGACCAAGGATAGTCGGCAAAGCTGCCACATAAGTCTGAATTCCACAACTTTGCCTTTTGTGACTAATAATAAGATATATATTATTTTTTACGGGGATTAGCCCACCCGGGCACAGGTCACTGACCTACATCGGGGCCTGGGGGGCGAAAATGTAATAGTAATAATAATAATAATTCATAGAAAATAAATTTTATAATCAGAAATAAAAAAATTTAAATAAAATTAAATAATATTGATAATAATAATAGTAATAATAATAAAGAATCAAAGAAATACAAAAATTAAAAAATCAAGAGCGAGAAACAATATACTGTATGTATGTTGTGTTGTCAACAGTAAGAGAAACAATTGAGACCCTGCAATTGTGTGTAAATGAGGCAGAAAGTCAGATCATCAACCTAGGACTTGGTCACTTATGGCAGCAGGGTCTACCATTAGACAATACATTATGCTTCCAATATCTTCCCAGGTGGTAGTACCTCCCTGTTTGGTAGCTGTCGACTACCTACTAGGTAGATGAAAGAACTAAACAAATACTAACATTACACCAATAAATAATGCCCACAAAACTTAGGAACCAATACCCTTGTAGATCTCGTGTCACCCCTCCACATACCCCTACAAAATCAAGTACCTGTAGATAGAATGTTCATTTCCTTAGTTCACAAGTGCAAATTTCATACTTACCAAAAAAGGACAATAGGAATATCTAAGATGTTCTTGTATGACTATTATGTCTGTAGAGTCGAAGATTTCATCAGAATAATCCTTAAGACTTGCCATCAAGGATCACATTGTCATAGTGACCAACAGTCCAGAAATCGCCAGGTTTGGAAGACGGACCAACAGACACCTCGGCTTTATCTCCTCAGTCGGCAGGAAACAGAAAACACTTACTTTTGACTTGTTCAGCAGCCCAATGCTTGTCGGCAGTCTCCAGGATCCATGCTTCTTGGTGGTCAGCAATGAGGAAACTATTGTGGTACAGTAGGTTTGGTTCTGCGTCAGAGCACGGCCCCCCCTGGCCATGCTCCTCCAGCAGTGAGGTGATCACCTCTACCGCCATCTCTGCCGTACTGCTTCGCTCCAGAGCCAATCTTCAGTAGATATTAACAAGATTAATATAAACTGATGAGGGAAATGTCAATCTAGTGAATAATTTCAAGACATTAATTCTCAAGTAATCAATGGGTGAAATATGAAATGCTAAAATGTATTATAGCTGAAACGAGGTAAAAAGAACTGCAATGTCCACCCTACAATAACAGAGCCACTTTATCCTGGTCAATATCCACACCTTAAGAACTTACCAACATGAATAGTTATATTGCAGCTATTTCTTAAAAATACTAAAGTATATTTTTAAATCATGACAAGAGCTAGGTGCCAATTGAGTGAAAGTGGAATGACCCATGTGCCAAGTGGAAATACCCCAATACTACCTGGGAAGAGGACTAAGGTTTGGTTTGGTAGCGTAATATTTAGGATGGTTTATCTTAAGGTAAAAAAAGCTTGGTATTATGCTCAAGACAATTCCATAATTTCTCTCATTTAAAAGTAATGTAACAAATACACAAGCAACAAGCATAAGCAATCATCAGAATTTTATATACAGTGGTTAGGATAAAGAATTTAGAGGGTGTCTAATAAAAAATCTATACACACTGTAATTCAGATTTTTGTGGCTGTAACATGAAAGCTTGTACTGTACTGTATTACAATTAACAACAGCACCACTGTCTTCACCTGTTGTTGCACGAGGTCTCCCTAAACAATGTGGGGACCTCGCATATCAACAAGTGAGGACAATTTTGCTCTCAACATTCACGCAATCACCACAAAAATCTACAAGACAGTGTTTATACATCTATTAGATATCCTCTAGTATTAATATTAGTGTTTATAATTTATGTAGTTTTAAAATCTGCATAACATCAAATTATCTTAATGCTTAACAATTTTATGATCAGGCAAATAATTATAAACTAGATCCACAAATGCCTACTAATTCAACATTTAATAAATAAAATAATTAAAAGCCAATTTCTTCTCAGTGCTTTGTGTCATCTTCTACTGATTCCATGTCAACAACAGCATCACTGCACAACACTTTACAAATATGCTGTACATAATTCAGTAACTACATTGTTACACCGACAACATATATATACTATACAGTACAACACTATCACACAAGAACAGTGTTATAAGAGAGGCATTCCACACACCCATAATAACCTAACGAGGGTATGTGGTTTGCTAGCTCCGAGTGGTTCACAACTAGACAGTCCTCCAGTTAACTTAAGGTAAAAATCTTGACCTTTCAAATAAATTCTTGGACTACGGTACCTGCCAGATCTCTGAGGGCAAATCATTAAACTAAAAGTAGGATTATTTATACCTATATTGGTGTTTGGTCTAAAGCATTACCGTACCTTTTTTAATACAGTCACCACATTAGAATTACATTCCCTGTTCTTTATACCTGTATCTGTACCTGTTGCTGAATACTGTATTTCAGAATTCAACTCTCATATAGAAATCACATCCTAATTTAATACACTGGCCCTGATCTTACCTCACCAGGTCCATTCCCAGTAGTCTCTCTATGCTGTCCTCATCACTCTGAAGTTTGGTCCACACCGCCTCATTGCCAACACAAACACCGTGCTCGTTTGACCCCATCTCGGCTCCCCACATCCATGATGGCTTACTAAGTATCACTGCATGAGTGTGGCTTACCTGATCTATCTCTATGTATGTGCACTGAAAGAGGGAAAAAACAATAATGACTAAGTTTTTGTATAATTCGTTAAATCATGACAAACAAATCGACACATACACAGTACAGTCTAGTCCAAACAAGGGGTCATATGAAGCTTAGCCCCTCCCAGCTTATTTCATCTTATAATTAAACATTACAACACTATCTTGGAGAGGCAAGTAAGATTAAGTTGGTTAGGTTAAGTGCTAGTTTTGGATAGCATTAAGTAGTTAATCTTAAGGTGAAATAACCTTGAGGGCTAATCTTCATGTGGTCACAAACAAGAGCATCTAATATTAGGATACAGCTTCATGATCATACTACAAATATTTAAAGTACAGGATGATAACTGCCTCCTATATCCACCACAACTTATTAACATACAACACCTAGGCTCTGACCCTCCTATTCTCTATACAAAAGTTAAAAAGTCATAACAAATTTAAGAGTTTTATTGTATCTTTTGACACAAACCTGAAAACTTCCATTTCTGTGACAAAAGATTCATACACAACCTAAGACTGTGAGATAGGTTATGGCAGACCAGTCTTAGTACATCAACATGGCTCTTCTGTTACAAAGAACAGTGTAAATATCTTGGCTGGTCAACACCTCTACACACTGATAAATCGTCCTTAGGTGTGTTTTTGGTACAGTACTACAATAGTGTGCTGTCTACGAAGATATCCTTAGTCTAACCAACCTGACCTAACCTGACCTAATTACCTTGTAGACCACACGCTATAGTTGCCCCATGTTTCCCATAACTAAACTCGTCACAACTCACCTGAAGTTTGGTACCATCCTCGTGATCCGCTGGCTGCCGGTAGATGACTTCTTGAACCTCCTCATTTGGTCTATCAGAATTCTTTCCAAACACAACATGGCCACCTTTGGTTACATCAGGTAAGACTACGAAAGTATCACATGAGTTTGGTGGAGGGCAAGGAGACATCTGGCGAGAAACAAATTAACAAATTATATTAAGTATACGGTAGTAGTTATTCACGTAACAACAGTAATCGGTAAAATTTTAGCTTCGGTCATCCCTTTGTTGTTCCGACAGTTTTTGACGCGTTTTAAATGATTTTAATCTAACCTAACCTACCCAACCAAGCCACAGAATCCAGGAACTATATCTAACCTAACCTAAAATTATAACCAGTTAGCATATAACTAGCTTCAATAAGCACATATTATGGGATACTAACAAAAAATAAGAAATAACATATGCCTAACTTAAGCACTTTTTTTTAATATATTTATACAAGGTCACCAAAAGTATTCAGCAATATGTATAAACCCCTTTCACTTTATCATTCATGTACAGTAACTGATCATTCATATTTATCAAATCTCAAAGAAATAAAAGCAATTCATCTCTTAAGTGTTCACAGTAAGTACATAAGTAAACAATTTATATATTTATAAGTGACCAATACTCCTCCCTCACACCCAACAGATGTTCACTTATAACACACCAACACTACTTAACACATAATCCAAAACACATCAACAATCTCAAATTCAATTACTTAATATTACACAACAAATAATAATGATAAATCCTCAGGTGTCAGGAACTTTCTGATCTGGAACTGATCAATCATGCATGACTCCCTTACTTGGCCCCATCATTTACCATCAAACAAACACCCAATTCAATAACTACATTAAAGGTAAAACAGAAGGTAATATTAGGCTAAAAAGTCATCAAAATATACAAAAAGGAAAATATTTGGTTAAGATATACAGCTTCAATTTCTCTTATGGTGAAAGGGGTCGACCACTCCCTCACAACCCCTATGTACCTTTTATCTTCCTTATATGACTCAATAACACCTGAAATAACAGTTTATAGTATTATGTGACAATATTGGCACACTAGGTGGATATGGAGAGATTATATTAACCCTAACTGGCCTGTTAGGTGTTAATAAGGAGATAAAAACCCCATCAGAGAAGAGCTGTCAAAGAGGAACCGTTATGCTCCTCACGGGGCCCCTAGCTGCTATCCTCCTTTAACTACCTATAAAACAAAAACCAAAGCCCCAATTCCACAACCAATTAAAATTATCTTATTCAAACTTCCATTCCCACACTCAAAAATGTTTAAAAAAAGCCATAAAGGGAAATTAAAACACCAATCATAACCACAATAATGAATCACAACAAGAGCATTATCCATTTCATCCATGTATTTATATCTAATTTCTTCAGTATTTACATATCTTAGCCATTTATCAACAGTCTCTATTTATAATTTATATTCTCTCGTATCCATCATAGAAACTAGAACTGTCCTACATACCTTATTAAGCTTAAAGAGTGACAATTTAACAGTCAACCCTGCCAGCTGAAGCCACCCAAGCAGACGATGTACTGATCAAGCTGGGCAACACGGCGTCAATTATCACAAGTTACTTTAATACAGTAATTTGTGGATGTATATTCAATAATCTAAGTTAAATTAATTATTTTATATATTTTAAGTATTATTTCGCTTCTATGGAAATATGATAATTTTATTTTATATAGTTTTTTATGGATTTATAATTAAGGGCGTGTGTAATCCTTCTTTAAACAACCATATATATATATCAATAAATATATTTTTTCTAGGCTTAATAGTTAACAATTTTAATATTATTAATTATCCCTTCTATGTTATAATAAATATATATGTATAAATCCGGCAAATAATAACGTCGTGTTCCTTAGTAGTCACGTGACGAGCTCTCTATTAAAGTCTTGTATAGAAAGAAAGTTAAGTATCATGTATGTACTATAATGCTATATTATATACTACTAGATACCTCTATAATATAACCCACGGAACCTTATGTGACTGTGGAAACTTATGAGATACTAGAAATATTGAATATATAAGATAGATAACTGAAGATAAATGAAAAGGAAAAGTTCTGATTAAGACAGATAAGTGAAGATAAATGAAAAGGAAAAAGTAATCAGAGTTAATTTTTTAGTTTAACAAATTTATTGGCAGAGCTTGTAGTACAGTTTGACTATTGTGAGTAATTCAGTCAGGTCTTGACCTGACTGAATTACTCACAATAGTCAAACTGTACTACAAGCTCTGCCAATAAATTTGTTAAACTAAAAAATTAACTCTGATTACTTTTTCCTTTTCATTTATCTTCACTTATCTGTCTTAATCAGAGACCCAAGTTTATAATGAATATTGTGAATGATTATAATGAGTTAAATAAAGAGTTATCTATCTGTCTTCCTGTATATATAATAGGAATCACAATCTAACTTTATATTACGCCATCTAGATAGTAAATTACTAAACCAGACTTATTTCGAGGTGCCAGTTAAGTATTATAGGAGTGTGTGAGGGTGGGTGTGAGGGTGGGTAGGGGGTGGGTCAGGGGTTGGGTAGGGTGGGTTAAGTCGTGTTGTGAGGCTCCTGCTGTGAGGGAGAGCGGCAGGCAGTTGAGGGAAAGGAATATAAGTGACTTTTTTTAGTCTTTTTCTCTACATATCATCCATCATGGCTCTTTTTAGAAATGCAGCGGCGAGGTTTCTCAGTATTCCGCAGGTATGGGTTATTTAAGAGGTATAGGAGAAGGGAATTATGGAGTAATTTAGTGTTTTATTTAAGAATTGGGGGACTTGCCGGCGACTCGGGTTGTTGATCAGCTGTGCCTGGGGTTTAAGTATTATGTAATTAATTTCTATATTTAATGATTCTATAGAGGTTATATAAGGCCAGATTAATGTTGATTTTAGTATGTATTTGTTGTATAGTCTCTAGTAAATGTGATTAAAGTTGAATATTTATTTATTTCAGTTGATTTGGGTATATAGTGTGCAGCCAGTGGTTGGCCAAGGCACTGGTGAAAGTATTAATAGTTTACGTGGGAGTAATTATATTCCAGGACACTTAATGAATAGTTACAATATCAGTTACTTTTTGTTGTATCGGTAATGCATTTAATTACGTTAATATCCAGGTAAATAATAAATATCACTTGGTGGTACCTGTGCATGGCGATAGGTTAGGTTGTTAGGTTAGGTTAGGTTAGGTTAGGTTGTTAGGTTAGGTTGTTAGGTTAGGTTGTTAGGTTAGGTTGTTTGGTTAGGTTAGGTTAGGTTATGTAGGCTGATATGTCAACCTAACCAATTGGTAGGCAAGTATTGATTGTGTGAGAGTGGACTAGGGTCAGTGTACTATGAAAATATAAATAAATTGGTAATTATATAGGACTAACCCAAGGGGGAAATTGATTGAAAAAAAAAATTATAAAACGCCGGATTTTCTTTGTTATATTATAGTGGATACTGTTGTAGTTTGTGGAAATATGTAAAAAAATTATATTAAAATAAACGCTACTTAGCTTTTGTGGTTATGAAGAACAGACCTAACCTACCGAACCTTACCTAACTTCCCGGGTATATTAAACAGAAAGAACTTGCAATGATATAGTGAAATTTGAGGCATTTTATTTGGACGCGAGATGATATGGCCGCATTGGCGCAATGCAGCCCTGGCGGGTTAGTCCTATATATTAACCAATAAATGACCAGAATGTGTATTGGTCTAGGAGTAAGATGCAAGTTTTTCGTATTTCATCAAGAAAGCAAGAACCGTACAGCTACTGCGTCATTATCCAGAAATCATTCTCCGGCTATCTTGTATTTAATGTGGGTAAAATTGTATATACTTTTGTTAACATTCAATGATTGGTGTCATCCTCGGTTACCAGGTCCTGCTACACTATATAATTTTTCATTCATAAAGCGAACTAACCTAAAATACTACAGGTATCTTTTCTGTTTTGTAAAAGTGGCTGAATGTTTTTGTTTGTCTGAGGCACATTAGAAGTTGCTGCACACCCACAGAATATTTTGTAAATGTTGTGTGACTGTTTTTAAGTTTTGTTAGATTTAATTGTTCAAATCTGTCTGGCTGTATGGTACTCCCATCCACCTTTAAGTAACTGAAGTATTACTTGGTCTGAAAAAGGTGGCTAAATGTAAGTGTGGTAGATATGCTTGTTAAATGTGACTTGCATGTTTTACTTAGGTGCACATGTGTACAGTAATGGCTGACCTTGGGCTGCAGTTAATGTGTGTGTGGTTGATTTATAAAAAAAAAATACTATATTCACATTATTAGGTTAAAGCAGATTCAGATTTTATGAGTAAATACGAATTCTTACCAAGTTTGGAAGCTTAAATGTGTTTTAGACAATACATTTGTTAAATTGTTTAGTTGATTATACATATGCAAGGACACACTTTAAGTGAAGTCTTCTGTATACCTGATGTGGGACTTAAGTTAAAGACGCATTGTTTGAACATGTTTCACAAGGTTGTGTAATGTATATGAATGAGTTTTTTTGTTACAGAATGTATATGATTTTTATGGTTATCTGTTTGGTAGTTTGTAAATAATTTGCAGTTCTGTACTGTATTTTATAACCAATGGGATCACCTGAAGATTTGGCACTCTGTATTTCACCTGATGATGCCATAGAAGTTAGTTGAGTATTAAGGTGTTTCATTATCAGGTGAAGTAAGTTGACTCTTCTGGTGATTCTTAATAATGTATGGGAATGACTTTTGCAGTTGATGTATTTCCTTAATTATCAGTGCTTTATCTTGCAAATTCATTAATCTTTGAGTTAGAAAATGTAAGTCTGTTGCTTTAAGCTGCTTTTGTATACTGTGTAGTAAATATATGGTAACACACTACTTACAGAAAGCTAGTCCACTAGCTGCAGTGACCACCAAAGCTCAGTACTCTTCAGAGAGCACTGACCTGCGGGAGGTTATGGCCCAGAAGGTGCCCATCATGCAGGAGAAGGTCAAGGCCTTCCGTAAGGAATACGGCAGCACCAAGGTTGGGGAGATCACCGTAGATATGGTAAGAATTATTATTACAAGGGCTTTGTTTTTTACTTATGTTTGCATTTTATCACTTTGCACTGAGAGAGATCAAGAAAATCAGTTGTATGGACTTTTTCTTTATCTTTAAGTGAATTTATTACTTTTGACTGAGAATATAAAATTTTCTCAGTGAAAGATTTAATTACACGTGAATATGGTATAGTGGACATTTTTTCCCTAGTTATAGAAAAGGTGTGTTCCTATAATGATAAAATGTCACAGATGTATGGTGGCATGAGAGGCATGAAGGGCCTGGTAACAGAGACTTCGGTGTTGGACCCAGAGGAAGGCATCCGGTTCCGTGGATACTCCATTCCTGAGTGTCAGGATGTCCTGCCAGCTGCCGAGGGGGGGACCGAGCCTCTGCCCGAGGGCCTATTTTGGCTCCTTTGTACCGGAGACGTACCAACGAAGGCTCAGGTCAGTTAATTTGAGGTGCTCCCTTGATACTTACACCAAATACAGTACATACAGTTATACACATGTAGTTATTGAACCCTTTTAGTGCTTTTAGATGCTACCCCTTCTCTTATTACTGTACAGTATAATAATTTACGCAACTTTTTTGTCCTGCGACCAAACACATTCGTGGAGGTTAGTCACGTTACCCGTCTGTCTGTTCATAGCCACATCCTTTTCTGAACAATGTCTATTCTGCTTTGGGCATGTGAAAAAGACAACACAGCCTTAACAGGTACAGGAAGGTGTTTATAGCTGTTGATGTTTGTCGGGTGTAAGTCAGCGTTGCTCAAGGTCAGAGGGATGGGCTGGTGGCTGTAGTTACGGTTCCTGATATCTCGAGTTCATATATTGTACTATAGATATCATCTCCTTCCTATATATTCATTATAGAACTCCATGTATAGTTAACATTTCAAACTTCATTTTGTCTTTACCATACCATTCATGTCTTAATTGTATTACTCAAGATCTGATATCAATATATGTTTTAGTTAATGTTCAGTTTAGATCTACCACTCTTGTTATTTTTGGTGGGGGCCTTGACTGGTATGTTTATTGGGTATGACATGAACCAGCCAAACTAAACCTAACTGGAAAACACTTTTTGAAGATCATTGAGATGGGAAGCTGCCATCAGGTAATCATAGCTGACTCGCACAAGTAAATTGCCTTAAACAGTTGTTTTTGTTGATCCCACACTAGATCTGCAACTCTCCCTTAAGACAAACACATGAATGAATAAAAATCCCAATAAAAAAAAGTTACTGGTAAAGTGGATCTGAACTGAACCCTTACTGTTTCTTTCAGTTTGCCATTCATTCCTGCTATTGTGTTTGTAAGTACCCTGTACATTACTGTATGTTTGTTTTAATATGCATTACTCTTGGTTCATCTCTCATTCATCTGTTTTCTTTCCAGTTGCTCCTCAGTAAATACCATACAGCTATTGTATTACATTAGGAGAAGAAGCCTTTTGATTGCAGTAATATGGCCCCTCAAATATTAGAGTCTGTAGGGTTTTACGTCGCTATATTTTGTTCCTTAAATAGCTTGTTTCCTTAACTTTATGTTGCTTGTGAAGGTAACTGCTGGTTGAAATCATACGATCATATACCTTGTCTTGTTATATGACTGGTTTTCAGTGACCTTCTTTGCCTCCGTGATTGTAAGGAAGGGAGCATTCACTTCCCTCATACTCAAACTTCCACATATGCTAGAGAATGGTTAAGTGGGAGGCTTTTGGGGGGGGTGGATATTGGTCAGGTTACTATGAACATTGCATTTTTTTTTTCACGTGACTTTCATTTTTGCCTGTTGCTGTTGTAGTCGTAAAGTGCATCAACATCACTCACTTTTGGCAGCCACACAAGCCTTTCATCTTTCATTGATTTTCTCTTGCATATGTAGTATTCATTTCTTTTAATAGCTTCTCTGCTTTCTCATCTCTCATGCACACTTGAGTCCTAAGGCTTCTCAGTGTAAGGTAATCCTTCAGTGAAGTATGTAATCCTAACCTGAATATTGACGCCAATGTAACCCCATCTGTATGACTGCACTTTTTTACTGTCATGTTACCTGATAACCCTTGACTGATAATTCTGAAATGTTTGTCTAACTCATTATCTGGTTAATTGTCCTCTTATCTATTCTTATCTCGTTATTTTTTACCTTTCCCAGGTGTTCAAGTGTTTACAGTAGTTATGTTGTTGATGTCATTTGGATTCAGTTTAAAGGACATTGATATTAGGAAAGTCTTGAGCTAATGATTAAGACTACTAGACATGTGGTTCTTAGGCACCATACACCAGAATGGAGGGAAGTCTAGGAATCGCCTTGTGTGTATGTGGACATCTTTCGTTTGTCTCCTCTGTTTACTTTATCGTAAACCATATATGTCACTGTGTGTAAGCGATTGTGTTGTGTGTTTTAGAGCCACGAGGGATTTTAAAGGTGTTGACTACCCTGCTGAGTAAGGATCATAGACTGCCTCATGGTAGGGAGGACACAGGTGTTTCTCTCATCCGTTTGGGGGCTCTGTGGGAAGTCTCCAACGGAAATTATATGAAACGTGAGGCAGACTTTGATGCGTAGTTGTGGTATTTAATGTTATGAGTTAAACTTGGTCTTTGACTTTTCCTTCCATATACTAAACCTTTGCTTTTGGGAATTTCATATCTTTCCCGACTCAAACAGCTAAAGACAAGACAGTCGTCATATTTGGTTTTTGCCAGGAACTAATAAATACAGTTTAATTGGGTTTAGCTACTATTTAGGAGTAAAGGTCTCAACGTGAAGTTTGAAAGTGGTGGTTATTCAACTTTGTATTGTTGGCTTTGCTGTTATGAAATTTTAACCATTGAAAGGGTATTTAAAAAGAGTATTGATAATCTTTTCAATATTTATTATAACATCAAACCTTGTTATTATGAAGCGAGTGTTAATTAGTCGTGTAAATTCTGCTTGGCCGAGATGAGTTGTGCATCGGTAATCATAAGTGTAGTATAATAATAATTCATTATATTTAGTTTAAATAGTTATTTACAATCAATGATGGTTTATCTCCAATGATTTATGGCAGAGTTGTCACCTGCTATTGTGTACTAAAGAGCAACCGAGGGATGAATTCTCTTCTGGTGACTTGTTTCTCCCATAGTTATAGTTTAACACATTATTATCACACTGTATTTTGATGATAACTATTACATCACAGGTTGACACTCTGTCCAAGGAGTGGGCCAACCGTGCTGACCTGCCCCCACACGTGGTGAACATGTTGAACAACTTTCCCTCAAACCTTCATCCCATGGCCCAATTCTCTGCAGCTATTACGGCGTTGAATTCCGAAAGCAAATTTGCCAAGGGATACAGCGAAGGCGTGCCAAAGGCCAAATACTGGGAGGTATGTGACCTTGTCTGAAAATATCTTTAATTGAAGATAGACATCTGATTATTAGCAAAACTATGAAATTTATGAAGCGATGATGACAAAAATCTATGCGAAGGTCGGTCCTGGTGCAGTCTCTTGAGGGTGACCAGGCAGCACAAGCTCACTCTAGGGGATAATTTATCCCCTGGGAAGGTCTGAGAGAGAGGTGTAGGATGCTCTAGCAGGGCAGCCTCTGAGAAGAGGAACAGGACAACAGACAAGCCCCTGGCTGGTAATGGATCCAGGACACCTTGCATTGGTCCTCTTTACAAGGTGGAGATTATCTTGCCATCCTTGGTTGGGAGTCCTGTAGCCAGCTTAATTAAGTGTGATGAGTGAGGTGGCCACTTCAGGTCATAACTCAATTCAGACTAGTCTGTGCTGCTGAGTCCCCTTAAAGATGACCAGCCAGGAGGTGGACCACATGTGCAAAGATTATGAGAGCTGAGCGGCTAGATTTTGTAAGACGAGTGTCAGCCTCGATAAAGTAAAGTTGTGAAAGTTTTTAATGTCCACAGCTCTGCTTCGAAGACTCTCTTGATTTGATATCCAAACTGCCCACGGTAGCTGCTACGATTTACCGCAATTTGTACCGAGATGGAACAAGTATCGGAGCCATTGACCCAGCAAAAGACTGGTCCGCCAACTTCACCGCAATGCTGGGCTATGACGACCCTCAGTTCACCGAGCTGATGCGTCTCTACCTCACAATCCACAGGTATATACACTTGAGTATTGAGACAGATTAAAAGTAAATATTATTGTGAAGAAGGAAGCAGACAAGGGATTAAATTTGTGCCACTGATTAAGAAGAAATTCGACCTAGATCCGATTCTGTAATGAGGTCTGCTGGTAGTGACAAGATTGATAGCCAAATTAGATAATGAGGACACAGTCAGACTATCAGTTAGGAGAGTGGGTGGGAGTCTCACATTTATAAACAATCGTCATTTCTTATTTACTGTACCAAGTAGTGTTTGAACTTGGAAGGAAAGTAAAGTACCATGCCCTAGTACTGTACCTCCCAGACATATAAAAGTTGACCAATAAATGTTTTAGCTCATTTCAGAGGAGGAGGAGGGTTCCATACATCTGATTCTTAATGGGTCATATTTTACTAAGTTAGTAACCCCTCAAATGCAATTACTAGCAAGGTGTGTGTGTATCTAATAATTCTGGAATGTTTTGATTTTGGGGGGGGGGTGGGGGAGGGGATCACATAGAAGAAAAAATTCTGGTGGCTTTTACTGAAGTGTTTAGATTTTTTATTTAATTTTTTTAATTACCTGCCACTGATGGATATGTTTATTAAAAGGTAAAATGTCTTGATACGCAAAAGGGAGGATGCAGTGTACATAGTATTTCAGTTGGAAAATTGCCAAGAACATCTACAAAGGAAAAAGTCTAGAATTTGTACAGATGATGCTAAAAATCCATTATGCCAACCTTTGATTAAATGGTTCGCCTCAAATTGGTTGATATGTAAAGTCTAGGAATAAGCTTAAGTAAATTTGAAAGATTATTTAAAGTCTCATGGTTTGGAGGTTTTAGATCAGTAGTAAGCATGATGTAGGGTTGGTGTGTTCTGTCCTCAATAGTATCCTGGATCTGGGGTTTATACTTGTAAGGTGTTTATGATCAGTTAAACCTAAGATAATCTATTGAAATCTTCCTTCTTCAGCGACCACGAGGGAGGAAATGTCTCTGCCCACGCCACTCATCTAGTGGGGTCTGCTCTTTCTGACCCGTACCTCTCATTTGCCGCTGGCATGAATGGCCTCGCTGGACCTCTCCATGGTTTAGCTAACCAAGAGGTAACGCACCTTAATATATAAACATAAATTTGTGTATATTACAGAGTGAACATCTTCATTGTCCTTGTCACTAACAATACGTGATACTTTTTGCCATATTTTATGTAATTCTGGTGTATTATATTTTATATCGGGTTAAATATAAATGTTTTAGCATTTAATGATGGGAATATTGGTGTTGTAGGTACTCCTGTGGGTCACCAAGCTTCGTGCTGAGATCGGTGATGATGTCACGGAAGATCAGTTGAAGGAGTTCATCTGGAAGACCCTTAAATCTGGCCAGGTTGTTCCAGGTTATGGCCATGCTGTTTTGCGAAAGACTGATCCTCGTTACTCGTGCCAACGTGAATTTGCCCTCAAGCATCTTCCTGACGATAAGCTGTTCAAAGTAAGTATGGCATGTAAACCACATGAGACCCTTGTTATACTCTACTGTTGGTGAAGGGAAGTGATGGCTATAGGCTGAGTCGGAGATAGAAAAGGGGCACAAATTTTATTTGATTGGAAACTATTAAGGTTGAAACTCTTGTTTAGATAAATCTTTACAGAAGTTTTGAAAAGCTAAGTGATGAACTTTTAAGGATATCACATAATCCGGGTATAATTATGAGTAATATTGAACGGCATTGTATCGTGTGAGGGGAAGGGGGGAACATTTTGAAGGTTAAGTTACACTACTCTGGCCATCGTCTCATTTACTTTCTGACCCATGCTATTTGTAATTATACTTGTGGCATTACTAGAGTGTACATTTAACCAATGGCAACCCTGAGTTGAGGAATGGACGAGTTGACGGTCGGATTTTTTTTGTAAAATGGCAGGTCAATGGGTAAATAAAATGCTTAAATTCACTGTGGTAATGATATTTTTTAATAAATTGGACCAAAATGTGTAAAAAATAAGGGTTAAAGTTGCTAAAAAGTCATGTGACTGAAAAGCTGTGTAATTGGTTGTGATGTCATTGGTTGGGGTGAACTTCCCAGCGGGAGGCAGCCAGCTGTAGTTGTCCGTCCTTCTCGGCTGATCGGCTCTTTAAATAAATATTATTAGATAATTAATTGTGCTTTATTGTGCAACACAGTAATACTACAGTATATTGAATATATAAATATTACTAAGCACATTAACTAATTCAATGGATATTAGCTGCCCATACAACAAATTTCATAGTATAAACACTCCAAACTATATTGATATTATTTTGGTTTTAGTCACCTGGGGAACCTTAAGATTCTAACTATGCAATTAAGTAGTTTAAACTATAAGACACATTATCTCTACAGGATTTCTGGCGCAAAACATTTTTCGTTCGCATAAGAAAATACAGATCATATGTTAGGTTAGGTTATGATGAGTTACTAGGTTAGCTTAACATACATCGGTAAGGGGGGGGGGGGGTAATAACTCAAACTAGTGATAGAAAAGGTCAAAATCATTCATAACACATCGCAAACCATCGGAAAAAACGGTCTGCATGTCAAAGTACAGGGATGACCAAAACTTAAAATTTACCCAATACAGTAGGGTCGGGTTCCGCAAGATAGGGTCCAACGATGTTCGCTATTTACTAAATCGCGATATATAATGACATGTAATCAATGGGGAAAATAGGTTTAGGTTCTGGAGGTCAATAAAAGTATCACTCTACGAATGTGTTTGCCCAGACCAGTCAACTCGTTCATTACCCATTGATATGTGGTATGGGGGATTTGCAATCTAACTAGGACAAAACTGATTATTTGGGTTTAGTAAACTGATAATGACTTGTACACTTTTATATATTCATAGGTTTTTAATTCACGTGTTATTCAGTCTCGAAATACACTTGGTTATCTCTCTCTCTCTCTCTTTCTTTCTTTTGTCATTTTGCTATTCATTTTCTTTCAGACTGGCTTTACCTGTTATGATTGCTTAGCTTGACAACCTACTTGCATATGTCATCAAATTAGGAGCATATTTTACAGACATGACAACTAAACCATCATACAGAGTTATTTAAGTTATTTTGACAAATATATTCATGAAAGTTATTCTCCCTAACCTACCTTTTGTTTTGTATTAAGGTTCACACCTAGGAAACTGAGGTACTTTACTTTACTGTACTCACTAAATTTAACTTTTATTTCACAGCTTGTTGCCAAGTTGTACAATGTTGTGCCTCCAATCCTCACTGAACTTGGTAAGGTGCAGAACCCATGGCCAAATGTGGACGCTCACTCGGGCGTACTGCTCCAGTACTACGGCATGATGGAGATGAACTACTACACAGTGCTTTTCGGAGTCTCTAGGGCCTTGGGCGTACTGTCGTCTCTGGTGTGGGACCGTGCTCTTGGGCTCCCCATCGAGAGACCGAAGTCCATGAGCACTGAAGGACTGCAGAAACTAGTCGGTGCCACAGCCGCCCAAGGAGCCTAAAGCAGCCGGCGACTCAGTCAGGATTTTTACAATTGCATGTAATTAACACATTTTTGTAAAATTATTTCATGTGAATGGATTAATTTTATTAGAACAGTGCATTTTCTGAAAATTCTGACTGCCTTTGGAGGGATTGGTTTAATTGTGAGATGCGCATGTCTGTGAACGTGTATGTTACGAACCAGTTATCTGTACCTATAGTAAATATGTCCACGACCACCTTGCATTTGCACCCTTGTGTTTTCCCAAATTTTGATGTGCTGGTTCATATTTCAGCATTCATATTTTAACAAAATTATAACACTTTTTTTTATATAAGAATGGAGGTATTTTAAGAAAATGTATTTTTTGTAAGAATTTTTTTTAAAAGTGAAGAAATTGAAAAGTGTTAGCTAAGCTTGTGACTGACTCATGGAATGGCAGGGATGAATTGGATGTGTGTTTGTGGTGAATACACAAAGATTATTTACATTAGCCTCTTCTCTATTTATTTAATTCCTGCTTTTACCATTATTTATTCTGTTTTGCCTAATGTTAAATCACCCTGAGATACTTTCCTATGTTTCATTCCCTTTAAGTTGTTTAGTTGCAGTTGTGTCTTAATGCACTACACTACCTTTCACTCTATTTTAGTATTAAACATTGGTCAGTAGTCCTCTGACCTTCATTAATAATAACAAACGCTCTACCAAATCTGATTTGACAAATTTTTTGATCACCTGTTGGAATCCAATGACTTTAAGTGTTTGTGATATTTTTCTTTTGTCAAATCTTGTGTTCAGTGAAGCAATATATATAGGTTTGATGCAGTATGATAGCAGTTGTTAATAATTAAAGTACCCTTTTTTAGGGTACATCCTCCTGGGGTGACCACGAGATGTATTGTACATAACATTGTATATTATGGTAGGTGCAAGGCAGAACAACTACCTGTTATTGTAAGGAGTACAAAAAATTAAAAAAAATGTTTTAGTAAACATAATTTTTGTTTTAACTTCCTGAAAACTAAAGTTATATTTACTAGCACTTATCACTTGTAAGTAACATTTTAATAGCCAAGAAGCTCAAGTGAATGATTAAATGTAAAATGTCACGACCGCATTTTTATTTGATCAAACTACCAAACTTTTCTTGGGAATACGGACATTGTTTAAACTTGAGGGAGAGACTGTCTACACGCTGTGTATATGACTTGAGTGATATATTTTCTATGGAATTTAGCCACCAGGAGAGTTAAATTGCCAAAGATCGTCTACAAGAAGGATTCAACATGTTCTTACATCAGACTAATACAACAGTGAAATGTGAATGAAAGGTTAAGACAATACTGCATATAATAACTTTTAGTCAATCTCAAACTTTAAAAATACCAATCTCATTCGGAGCTCAAAATATATATGTCAGAAAACTGCTGTTTACAGACTATACCAAGATCTTAACAAAAGGAAGTGTACCAAGTCTTAACCAAAAGGAGCAAGTGGGTCCTCACGAATGTGCCAAGTCTTATACTGTACAAAGATCCCCAAGTATAATAAATGTCAAGTTACGAGAGTTGGCTTTGTCTGTATGGTGAATGTCTTTCAGAGATTATATAAAAAAATGCTCCTTATTGGCTGAGCTGAAGCTACAAAAACATCCAAAAAATATCAGGACGGAGAGTTGTGAAATAAAAAGTTTATTAAAAAATCCTTTCGGGTTTATTCGTGGTGGTGGTAGTTCTTATACTTCAGCTCAAGTTGATCAGTTAAATCAGTGCAGTTTTATATCTTTACTAAAGGAGAGATGCATTTATGAACCCTTTGAAAACGGATAATCTTGTACGTGACTGTCAAGTACAGTACTACAAGGTGTCCTTACATAGTTTGGGTTGTGGTCCTTGAAAACATAATGGAAGTGGATTAATTATAACCATATGAATTAATGGACATAGCCGGGTGGGATAGGTTCTATACAAGTAAAGTTTTAACAAGATTATTGTAAAGTTGCAAAGTTTTAACAAGATTATTGTAAAGTTGTAAATAAGTTAAACAATTTTATACTCACAGTGGTGGGAGAGAGATGTGGACCAACAATGTCCACTATGCCCACCAACATCACACCAATAGACTTGTATTTCCAATTCTTTGGGGTTAGTCGCTGCACTTGTCTCATCATGGATATTTTACACACTTCCTAGGATAGTTCATAGTAGTAGAGTGTCTCTATATAAGTTCCACACCATAGGGAAATAAATATCTTCTTTTTCAGGTGAGGGAATCCTAACAAAGATTGAGTGATGAGAATCAATTGAATGGGTCATCTAAAATCTGTCTTCTAACCAATATTGACCTAAGAACCATTTAGGTGTCCCACAGAGGAATATATCGGAGACCTTTGTGGCCGTTCAATTGGTTGTCATCTAATCCTTGTTGAATTGTTTGGATTCCTTCACTTAAAGAATATTAATTCTCCTATACTGTGAAACATATGAGACACCCTGTATATGTGGAGAAATAACAAAGGGAATACAGTACATTGACAGTGTATCCAAAAATTACATTCCACTATTTATGGGACAACATAAAAGAACGAAGACAAATCGAGCAAACTGAGATGTGAACCGTGAATATGTCCGAGCTGCTCCCTCCCCACTTCACTTCGCTGAGTATTCGAGCTCCAGCAAACGATGACCTAATTGAACAACAGCACTTAAAGCAGCTGTAGATGACACCCTGGACTAGTATTATGTGAGTAGAACTGTTTACAAGTGTTAAGCACTGTACAGTTTGGTTGAGAAGTACTGAGTGACACTATTGTATGTAGGTGCCATGTAATGTTCAAGATACCAAGACTTGTACAAAAATCATGCACGTACCAAGTATTGCACAGTATAGATGTTGCATGAAAGGGTTGTCTTTTGCATGTGAGATTACTAATTGAATTGAATTGACCATAATATAATATCCCATTTGAGTCTTATACAATAATATGAAGCCTAATACCACATCCTCTCTGCGTATTAAATAAGAGTACCAAGTCTTATGAAAGAGTTAATTATACATTTGTACTAATTCTTATACAGGCAGACTGAGTATTACTCAAGACTTCTAGATCTCAATAACAGCCCCTGGGTCTTTAGAAAATGGTCAAGTGTTATACAAGTGATGGGTTTTATTCCTGATCACCAAGTCTTACTTGTTAAGTCTATCCCTTAAAGTATATAACTATTTAGCTGATACTAATTTATTTTAGGCCTGTTGTGTATGAATAGCAACACAGATCAATGTCATATTGTAAGGGTTAAGATGCCATACTCTTGGGATAAAGTCATCATACAGAAAGGGTTGAACCATTGTATTCAAAGGATTAAGTCTTCACATTTAAGGGGTTAAGCCATCATCCTCTAGGGGTTAAGCCATCATCCTCAAGGGGTTCAGTCATATCCTCAAGAGGTGAAACTATTGTGCTCAAGAGATTAAGTCATCATACTCATGGGATTAAGTCATTGTACTCAAGGAGATAAGATGTCATAGATACCTCAGGATTGGCATGGCACTGAAGGGGTTACAATATTAAACATTTATAATAATAAGGAAAACAAAGAGTCGCCTCATCTCCAGACACATTCTACAGTTCCATAATTATGACTTACGATTGTAATCAATTTCTCAATATTGATTTGATGCTGCAGATCTTGCTGAGCCGACATTGCAAGATAAATTGTGGCAACCATCAGCAAAATTAGATCTAAGACAATCTGTACAAATAAAAAAGTATAGAGATATTTTTTTATTGTCACATGACTTCATCCTTAACCCTTGTGGGGTACGTGTTATTGGTTCACACTCAGGATGGGATGGAGAAAGGAAACTCACAATGTGCTCTCTGTATACATATTGTATTGGATGTACAATGCAGCTTGGTGCTGGGAAGGCAGCATGGTTACGAGCGTTGAGTAGAGAGAGCTGGTTGGTGAGGGTGCTCAGAGGAGGACCAGCTTGTGGGTTGCCATGGTCGCCGGCTGGAGCGGGAGCTGCCAGGCAGGGGCGGAGGAGGAGGTGTTGCTTGCTGGAGGCTGTAGGTAGGAAAGAGAGGTAGGTCACCACGAGGTCAGGTCATATAGCGGGGGTAGGCGTGGCTTAATACTTGACCTCACTCATGTAAGGCGGCGCTGGTTGCTGACCTAGACCACGAGGCATACACTGGGGAATTCGCGGGGTCGGCTAGCCAGCGACAAACAGCGTTTGTAGGGGAGGAATCCACTACAATACTCCCCCTTCCCTCCAGGCGGTGTAGGAGAACTTGTTGTCTGCAGGGTTGCATGTGAGGCAGAACGGGCGGTGCTTGCCACATGTTAGACATGACAGCGAGGGCGTGTATAAGCCGGCCGCTAGTGGAGACAACCTTGTCTAGATACACGAGATCTGTGGGAGGAGAGAGGGAGAAGGAGGGTTGTGGAGGCGATGAATTTTTTTGCTTCCCTCGCGGCAGGTACAGTCCTTAGATGCACCTGCTGGGGTGTGTGGGTCTGGGTCAGGAGCAGGGGCTACGTCAGGAAGAGGGTCTATGACAGCAGTAGGGTACATGACAGCAGCAGGGTCCACGACAGCAGCAGGGTGCAGGACAGTAGCAGGGAGTACCTGAGGGAAAAAAAAGAGTGTGTGGGGCCGCACTCAGGCGCATGGGCCGCATCGGGAGCAGGGGCTGCCAGGCAGGAGCGGAGGAGGGTCCGCGTCAGGAGGAGGGTCCAGGACAGTGGCAGGGGGTACTGCTGGGCCGGGGGCGGCGTCTGAGGCAGGACGGGTGTGCTGAGGTCGGTAGGACGTGGTGCTTGGGGCAGGAAGAGGAGCTAGTGTCTGCTTAGAGAAACAGTGCTGCTCTAGAGTGCCTAACCTGCGGTGTAGAGACAGTAGCTGTAGAGCCGATGAGAGCTGCCTCTGTGTAGATAAGCCAGTCTTCCCTGTTGCTTGAAGACTGGGAGAGTGATTGGTTTCTCCTCCATCCAGTGTGAGTGCGAATCTCCGGGGGTCACCATTTGTGGGGTACGTGTTATTGGTTCACACTCAGGATGGGATGGAGAAAGGAAACTCACAATGTGCTCTCTCTATACACCCTCATAGAAATGGGTATGATTGTTTATCTTGAGAATAGATACTTTTATACAACACAGATATATAAATTAAGCAACTTGTAGTGGGGGTGAAGCATATATATATTAAATACAAGATAATAATGTGTATATCTATAAATTGCTTTGTAGTTTTGTGCGACAGACTACACTACCTCAAGCTGTTTCTATCTGTGTGTAGAAGGCACAAGGGGGCATCTACAAACGTGAGAAGCTTTTCAAAGTGCATTGAAATATTGTAAGTATATTAAGGGATATTCTCTGTGCCATGGGAGGACATCTTACTATTAATATAATACAGTACATAAATATATTATCAAGCAGATGCTACAAGTCTTATACTTTTCACTCCCTTATCAGCTGACAATTAGCAAAATAAACATGCCAATTGTCAAGGGGACATACAGAAATAATATTATCATTAATATACAGATTACACGTATAGGTATATTAAATTATAATCATTTTTCTTAGGAGAATCTACCATATTATGCATTCATTCATACAGTATATATGTTGTGGATACTTATCATGCAGCTCAGTAACTTCGCAGGTGGTCACACATTCTGGGCGAGTCAGTAGTCTCACAATAAACCGCATCTAAGGAATCCTACGTATAAGAGAAAACTCCTTTGTATCTACACCTGGATTCAGAAGTATTCACAAAAGTTCTCAAGCAAAGCCACTATTAAGTCCTCTGTATTTGCACTCTGGAATGCACATAAACTTTATAAAAGCTCTTAAGACAAACTCATTTCATATTGAGTTCTTCATCCGGTGCTGGAGGTTCAGAAGCATTTCTTGAAGGCAGTGGTGCAGAAGGGGATCAGCTGAGGGTTGTTACACTGCTGGCAGGCGGAGGCCAGCTGGCGGCAGCAGTGGAAGTGGTCTCGGCAGCAAGTTGGCCACATTGATGAGGAAATGTTGGAGCAACCTTGCCGGCACTGTTCACACGTATCTATGAGGGAATGGAAGACACTTGTAGTGATGAGGAAGCAAGTACAATGGGGAGCACTGAGTGAGTAGAAATAGAGGTAAAATGATGACATTTTGGAATAGAATGAAGACATTTTGGGTTAGAATGAGGATGTTTTAAGGTAGAATGGCGACATTTTGGAGTTAATTAACCCCTTGAGTGCAATACCTTTCACTTGAGTACTGTGAATCTGTCCATTGAGTAAGATATCTTTACTTCTGAGTATAACAACGTTACCCCTGAGTACAATGACTTTACCCCTGAGTACAACAACTTTACCTCTGAGAACAACGATTTTACCTTTGAGTATGATGACGTTACCCCTGAGTATGACTTACAATATTTAATTCATTATATACAATGTCTTTTATCCCTTTGAATATGATAAAAACTCCTCTTGAATACAATGACACTGTACCCCTGCGATTCAGTCATCCTACACAAAGAGTTAAATGCATTTTATCGTTCCTAGTTAAGAGATAAAGAAAAGTACAGTCCCCTTCACTAGAGTGTTTACAGAGGCTTATATAATTATTATCTTTGAGATATTTGTTTTAATATTGTTTTAATTTGATTCTATAATATGTTTACAATCGCAAGTTTCGTTCTGTCGAATGTAAACAGGTCCAGGAATACACATAATAATTTTAGTCATATATGTTATTAACGTTCACAATTCTACTGAGTAATTATAGATTTAGTGAGAAAAAAAAAGTGGAATAACTGGGCAGCTGGTCCACCAAGTTCACGTCCATCTTGACCTCTTCAACACAACCCAGAGGAGGATTCATTAGTGTTGCAGGAGAATGTTTTTGTGTGTGTGTGCGTGTCTCAAGAGTTACTGAAATGTCATGAAGTCAGAACAAAACTCGCAGTGCCAAGGTGAGCAGCCAGTGAATAATATAATTATTTGTTGGGAATTGTACCGTTAAACACTACCCTCGCTGTCTGACAAACAAGCCTCATGAGTGTAATTTTTTCCTTGTAATTATTTAAAATGTTTACCCAATTACTTGTTTTTATAGGAATGTTTATGTTACTATATTTAGTCTTTTGAGTTAATATTTTAAGGTTTTTCTACTTGATAGTCACCTTAAAAGCTGGTTGAGAAATTTTTTTTAATAAATAGTATTTTCATTTTTGTAAACTTGGTGCAGCTTCCCAGAAACACTCGTGAAGGTGTTGTGCAATTCACTCACGCGTTCACTTATCAACCTTGTCTGCACTTGTTAGCTTATAGACCAGTCAGGTGGTCTGTTGCACACTGCTGACAGGTCCCCGACAAACACGGGCTCTTAAACATGCATCAGTGTTGGTGTAGTTCTGGACTTTAAGAGATATTTTAATATTATTATATATATATATATATATATATATATATATATATATATATATATATATATATATATATATATATATATATATATATATTTTTTTTTTAGGGGATTAGCCCACCCGGGCACAGGTCACTGGCCCACATCGGGGCCTGGGGGCGAAAATGTAAATAATAATAATAATAATAATAATAATAATAATAATAATAATAATAATACTACTAATAATAATAATAATAATAGAACCATAAAGAAATACAAAATGAAAAAAAAATCAAAAGTGAGAAACAATATATGTATGTTGTGTTGTCAATAGTAAGAGAAACAACCGAGACCCTGCAGTTGTGTGTAAATGAGGCAGAAAGTTAGATCAGCATTATTACACATTATTGATGTCATAACATTCACTGGTGGATTATTGAATGAGGTCACAACTACTCCAAAGATGTTAATCCTGGCAGCTTAGGGAGCTGCAAGTGTCCCTAGTTAGAACCTGTTACAGTCTGAGTATATTCAATAAACTACTAAGCATTGTCTTCAAATATTCACACTTTTCAATATGCCTGGTTTCACAGCAGACAAGTACTGTGTCTTAAAGAAGGTTACCTTATAAACATTACAATATTCTTCGTAGGCCATAAAACCACCCAGGTAAGCTGATGTAAGGTGTTTTACCTGTAACACCAACACCCCAGGCAGGTACAGTTATCAGCGATGGTATAACAGATCACTGAGATCACACAACATGAACAAGAAACATATTGGCTTCTAAACTAGAAATACCGAAACACTCCTGGAGTCCGATAGGATATATCCCCATAAAAGAAGCACTGTACTGTACCTGTAAGTGATATTTTACCTACGTTTGAAAAGAAGCTCAGGTTAAACATTTTGCTAAAGTAATATCTAGTATACACTTTATATAAATTAATGTATGCGTAAAAAGAAAGATTGAGGAATCAGTGTATTGAAATAAGTATTGTATTCAATGATCTGAGAAGGTCCTGCAAATATCCTTTAAAGCCTGTACAGCATGTGTGAAGGGTTACCTGAGGTGCAGGTGAGGGCACTCTGGGCCAGCTCCTCCCTACAGGCGACGCCACGGGTGCCTCGGGGACATGGACTCTTTCCGATCTCGTTCTCCACCTGCAACACAACAACACACCTGTCAGGTACTCTCATGGGCTGTACGGTACATATATTTAATACAAAATCAATCTAGATACTACACATTGCCCAGAGGAAGAGTGGTTCGGGGATGAAGTACAATTGTCACGTACTGTACACTTGAGGTAGTACTGTACACTTGAGGTAGTACTGTACACTTGAGGTAGTACTGTACACTTGAGGTAGTACTGTACACTTGAGGTAGTACTGTACACTTGAAGTAGTACTGTACACTTGAAGTAGTACTGTACACTTGAGGTAGTACTGTACACTTGAGGTAGTACTGTACACTTGAGGTAGTACTGTACACTTGAGGTAGTACTGTACACTTGAAGTAGTACTGTACATACATTTCTAGTTTAATCTCTTACTTTTTGAAATGTAACTTATCACTGGTATGTACTCTTGCTAACCAAACAGGCTGAGTTGCTCTAAGGTCAAGTATGGTACAATTGTCACATGTGGCTGGTACAGTTGCAGCCCAAATTTCCCACAGCACTTGGTAATATCTGCCATCTCTTTGTGGTTTATAAATGTGATTGATGTGTATCTGGGAACACTGATAAAAGACACAGAATAACACCAAGAGAAATCCTCACTAAATAGACTAAAAATCCCATCTTTCCTGACCTATGTGAGTTAATGATGCACAGAGCGGGATTTTCTGAGGAGAGATTTTATACCGTAACTCAAGGGGGAAAAGTGGGATTTTACCTTAGAAATCTAGAGATAGGCCTAGCTAGTTCAGATCATATTGGGTGAGGTGTAGGTTAGGTGTAGTTACTTTGGGTTGGGTTATGTTTGGTTTGGAAGTTACCAGTTACCAGCGTCTCAACTCACAGGGGCCTGGGACTGTTTGCCGGCGTTGATGAAACTGGAGGCGGGGATGAAGGTGGCGGTGCGTGGGGAGGCAGAGCGTGGGTCGGGTACTGGCACCTCAGCAGCCTCCAGGGATCCTAACTCATACATCAGAGGTGTTGGAATTTTCTCGCCGCCACCCCACGACGTACACACCGTCAGCACCACTACAATTGCCGCCACTAACTGCTGCTGGGTCATCATATCGACTCTGGATAAGGAAAGAACACCTGTTAACATCATCTGTACAGGTAAAACCCAGGTAAATGGCATGGAATCTTTTATACAATGTATGATAATATTCACTAATCAAATGAGCTCTTCTCTTTCTCATTCTCTCCCTCTTTCTCTGCTATCTCTACTTTATCTCTGCTCTCTCTCTCAACCCATCACAACCTTCTCCCGACCTTGGGTCTCTGGTACGGCCAGTCTCTCTTGTCGGTAGCAGTGTTAATGATGAGAGAGAGAGAGAGAGAGAGAGAGAGAGAGAGAGAGAGAGAGAGAGAGAGAGAGAGCTGTACTGTGCCTCTGTAATAATAATAATAATAATAATAATAATAAACGGTTTATTAATAGAGTTGCACACGGTGGCTGAAAATATACAAACTTACATGTGATTTAGACATAATGATATGCGTTCAATACATTTACAGGGCTGTACATTACATAAATCAGGAGTTGTTTATTATTTTAACAATAGATGGGATGGTGTTATTCTTATATCCATCAGTGCGGGCTCTTATGGACTGAATTTTGTTGAAGTGGCGGACTGCGCGAGGTGGGTGGGGGACTGCCGGTGGCAGGAGGTGGCGATGACGAGGGTGGTGCAATAGTTGGCTGCCAAACCTTTCCAGTGCTTGGTGGTGGAGATCACTGAGGGATGGCATTTCCAGGGTGGAGAGAGCGTTGGTGTAACCGGAGTAGTCAGCGCCGAGCATGATTCTGCAGGCCCTTTTCTGTACCTTCTCTAGCTGACGTTGTTGGGTGGAGTTGAGAGAAGACGACCAGGCTGGTGACGCATACGATAGTTTGGGGAGAATAAAGGCGTTGTAGATGGTCCTCAGCTCTGGCGTGGGTGTCCCAAGTGTGTGTGTGTGTGTGTGTGTGTGTGTGTGTGTGTGTGTGTGTGTGTGTGTGTGTGTGTAATGCTTCTATTTGTTTAAATGCAAGAAAACCAACATTAAAAGCATGCCCAAGAACTGTCACAATGAAGATATGAAACTAGATTCATCAACAGTGACTTCATCAGCAAGCAGAAGTCAACAGCAGGGAGACGACAGTAAAGAACCACAAACATCAAACAGAACCGTAATAGAACAAGTAGAACCACCCAGAAGTAACAGAACCAGCAAGAACCATAACCTGTCTTAGGCCTAGGAGTGGTTCTGGGTTTCGTCTGTCTAGCTTCATCAGGTGGTCAAGTCTAACCCCGTGTAACGAATCGTCTATTTCTTCCTCCTTGAGCGAGGTGACGCTACAGCAGCGTCTATCACTTGGCAACAGCAACTTAACAGAGGAGGGAGGGGAGGGGAGAGGAGGAGAAGGGAGGTGTGTCGAAAAAAAAACCCAGGAGGTGATAATGCAAGTAATCACCACCAGAGGGCCAGATATGTCGTCAAACAGGTATTACAATATCAGCCGATGAACACCAATAGAGATCAACTCCCCTCCTCTCTCTCTCTCTCACACATACTTAAACACACCACCTAACATGACCACTGGTTAATTATGAGCTCCAATCAACATATAACATTCCCAGGCGCTGTGACCCTGATTGACGCCTCTTCCTACAAGGTGACTCCAACTGTCTGAACCCCTACCAGTCCCCTTTCTATCCTAACCTGTACTTCTGGTCGAGTCTGGACGCGGAAATACCCCTGACTGGCTTGGACTTCCCTCTATAACGGCACCAGGACTCGTTGACATGGAGACACCCCGAAATACATCTAAAGGACATACATTAATTTTTTTATATTCCACATTTACATTTCCAGACATGTATAGACTCAAAGACACACTGTTTTATTGGTCTTTTACGCTGATTGGACATTTCCAGGACAAGTATGGACATGGGGATTCTTCTGATAAGGGTTTTCCAACTACATTTCCATAGCCATCGTGAACTCCATCTCCAAGGCACGCCTGGACATGGGAACACTCGCGGCCTTGGTCTTCCTTTAACGGGCGTTTCCGAGACACGTGTGGGCATGATGATATGCCTGGCCACACGAGCCCTCTGGACATAGGGAGGAAGAGGAAGAAGAGGAAGAACGCGTAGGCAGGGAAGAAGAAGAGTTTTTCTGCAACTTCAAAACCCAGAGTGATAATTGTGTACCAAGTGTGTGTGAGTGAGTGTGTGTGTGTGTGTGTGTGTGTGTGTGTGTGTGTGTGTGTGTGTGTGTACTTTTCTTTCTCTAACTCTTATGGTGTTTCTCTCGATTTATGGTCATATTTTCCTTTTCTGTTTCTTTATTTCTCTTGATATAAATCCTTTCTCTCTCTCTCTCTCTCTCTCTCTCTCACTGTTATTATTCCCGTCTCTCACTCTGTCTGTCTGTCTGTCTGTCTGTAACTTATGGCTCATGCCCCGGGGAAGGCTTGGCAGGACTCACCAAGGCCAAGAACTGGAGCTTAACACCTGACTGAAGGTACCTCAAGGTGGGTTGTCTGTCTTCCTCTCTCTCTCTATCTCTACACATATGAATCAAATTATATCCATCGCCAAGAGACATAATTTCTCTCTCTTTGTCTCTCTCCTCCTCTCTCTATCTCTCTCTCCATCACTAGTTGCTACCTCGCCTGATTTACCTTATAATTTCTCAAGGCTACACCCGACACTGCCAGACTCCACCCATCTATGTTTTGTCTCTCCATTTGTCTCTCCTATCTCTCTTGTTCTCTCACTCTCATCTCCATTCTATCTCCTTTCAGCATTCGTTACCTTTTCATTATATTTGTCCCTTAAAATAAAAAAAAACCTTATTTATTTGATGATGATTGATGAAATGGAGAGAAGGGAACCGTTTGCTGAGGAGATGGAAGACGGTGTGGGAGGAAGGTAAAGTTAGGCAGTGGGAAGTAAAGTGGAAGATTTGATAGCAGGTGGGGCTATCTACCTTGCGGGGAAGGGGTTATGTCTGTTACGTCAGCATTTCCACTAACTGTGTGTTGTGGTAATGTCTTCTTGCATTAGTTATTGTAATATGGGATCTTCCAGTCCGTGTACTTTATACCATATTGTTAATGCTTCATTGTGTGTTCTGATCTTGATCGTGGTTAGGTTATGTTCTGTGTGTAGCTCGCTGGAATTTTCTGTATATGGCGGTCTGAGTTTTGCTGCTCTTCTGAGGGCTATGTTTTGAACTGCTTGTATTTTGAGTATATTTGATTTTGTTATTGTGTTGAGTGGAATTGGGGGATATTCCAGGTGTGTTCTGACTAGTGCTTTATAGAGGCGTAGTTGTGTACTGGTGTTTAAGTTAACGGAATCTTCTGAATTTAGTTAGTTGAGTCTTGTCTAATGCGATTCTTTCTTTGATATGTGGGAGTATGGCATTTCTTGTAATTTTGAGGCCAAGGACTTTCCCATTTTCTGCAGATGGTATATTTTGATTGTTGACCATGATTGGGTAGGGTCTTTAGTTTTTGCGTGTTTGTTCTGATTGCCATCAATTGTTTAGATTTCCCTGGGTATTGTATAATTTAAGTTACGTCATCTGCATATGGTATGTACTCTGAGTTTCTTGGTTTGGGCATGTCCGCTGTATATATGGTGTATAGTATTGGTGATATGTTGCTGCCTTGGGGTACTCCACTGTAGAGGGTGAAGTTTTGTCTTATGTAGTTGTCTATGGTGAGTTTGTAGTGTCTGTTGTCAAGGAAGTTACAGAGGAGAGCCGTGATGTTAGGTAGCATGTTAAGTTGGATGATCTTGTATTTGAGTCCGAAGGCTTTGCTGACATCTATAAGTTCTATGTTGCATTGGTTTCTGTTGCTGGCTGTATTTATCTTCATACACTCGATAGTTTTTATCTCCGTAACACAAAGTAGATTAAAATTGAGATGAAATTTGCAGTTAATATTCCTCGTCTATGTAAAACAAATCAGTTTAATTTTTTAAGTAACTATAAAATATATATTATTTGTATTATTATTTTATGTATCATATATCGCGTCGTTAGTTATCAATTTAAACAAAAAAATATATCGCTCTTATCGTCTCTGTTTCCGCTGCCACACCAGGGAAGAAATATCGTACCGTATCGATTCATTAAATTCATCTAATAATTAGTATAATTCGTCATAGACCATTTTTTTTCTCACCCACGACGAATGTTTTAATAGACGAAATATTGAGACGATTCTTCCGACTAAAAGAACGACGATGACGATAATAGTGACGACAAATAACGATGATAGCAACTATGACGACGATGGTGTCTGAATTCTCTACCCGTGTCAATATATAGCTAGTGCATGGTGAGGCCTATATGACGCCGCCCGTATTAATTCTGTCTGTGTCTGTCTGTCTCTCAGGTGAGGGGGGGAGGTGGAAGGTGGAGGGTGAGGAGGGAAGGTGGAGGGTAGAGGAGGGAAGATGGAGGGTGAGGAGGGAAGGTGGAGGGTGAGGAGGGAAGATGGAGGGGTAGAGGAGGGAAGGTAGAGGGTGAGGAGGGAAGGTGGAGGGTGAGGAGGGAAGATGGAGTGGGAGGGAAGGTGGAGGGTGAGGGAGGAGGTGGGAGGGTGGGGAGGGAAATGGAGGGTAGGAGGGGGTGGAGGTGAGGAGGGGTGGAGGGTGGGAGGGAGATGGAGGGTGAGGAGGAAGGTGGAGGGGGAGGAGGGAAGATGGAGGGGAGAGGGAAGGTGGAGGGAGGTGGAGGGGGGAGGTGGGGGAGGGGAGATGGGAGAGGGAAGGTGGTGGGGAGGAGGTGGAGGAGGGAGGTGGGGGAGGGAAGGTGGAGGGTGAGGGGTGGAGGGCAGAGTAGGAAGATGGAGTAGAGGTGGGAGGTGGAGGTGGGAGGAGGGAGGTGGGGTGAGGAGGGAAGGTGGAGGTAAGGAGGGAGATGGAGGTGAGGAGGGAAGGTGGAGGGTAAGGAGGGGGAGGTGGAGGGTGGGGAGGTGGAGGGGAGGGAGGAGGTGGAGGGAGGAGTGGGAGGGGAGATGGAGGGTGAGGAGGGAAGGTGGAGGGTAAGGAGGGGAGGTGGAGGGTAG